CCTCCGCAGAGGATCAAAATTGTGATGGCATGTCTTCGGATCATCCTCCGGGATGTTTCCCAGACCGTCGCCAATAGCCCATTGTGCAGCTCTAGTGCGACGTAAATTAACAACAACAACAACAACAATTATAAGACAAAGCATTATGCTCAATAAATCTTACACAAGTATATCTTTCCTGTTCTTAGAATACAAATCAAAATTCAACATTAACTACTACAAGATTATGCATATTAAAATTAAATAATTCAATTTTACTCTTTTTTTTTAAAAATCACTAAATATTGAATTCATTCTGCTCTCATCCAACAATTAATCACAATTATACAAATAATAGTTTCATCGCTAAAACCTGTGCAAAATTCATCTGCCGCTAGTCAGCAAGTCTTACATGAAAATAGATTTGGCGCTGCAGATTTGAAGTGTTAGTGACGGCTGCTAAAATAGTTCCCCGTCTAAAATATAAATTTGAAAATCATTTCAATAACGTCGTTATGCTAGAATGGCATCACTTGCATTAAAGACTACTGCTAGTTACTGTTTGTTTCGAAATAATATACATCCTGAAATTTATCAGAATGACTTAATAGAAATTCGTTTGTAATTATTTTCGATATCATTTTAATCATTAAGATGATGTTTATATTTATTTTCAAATTATTTGGATACACTTCTTAACTGTTGCCGGTCCTCTTCCCTGTTAATTAGAAACAATATGGCGGCCGCCAATGTGCAAACACCTGACATCTCAAGTTTTTATACAGAAAATGCATGCAAAACAGTTTCTGTCAATATGCGTTGTGGTCCCCATTGCAAATCTGGAGATATCAGTGAAGATATTCTTCGAGCTGAATTTCACGAAATGTTTCGTCAATGCATTGATCAAAAGTGAGATATTTTACTTGATGTAAACAATGATTTGACATCTCGGATGAAATCTTGTTTAAATTTTTATTGCTGTTTCATACTCGATGCTTTGTTTTTTTCATACGCAGTTCAAAGTGCATCCTTTCTTTTTTTGGTTAGCTAAAGTATAGTTTATTCTGTCAGTTCTATAATCGACAAGTTTCTATGACTATTGCATGAAAACGTTATTTATCGGCAAATTTAATCAAGGGTAATTGTGATCTGCAAATATTGGTATCTGTTGATTAACATAGTATTGCAATATTTAGTAAGTTGATCACTTGTTTGTAGGACAGCAACTCAATGGTCCACTCAGAGGAGTAGTCAACTTGTAAAGTATTGTTTCCGCCAGCTTGGTGATATTACATAGTTAATAATGATATAAAAAAAAACACCAAGTAATCAACATACAGAAGTGATTAACTTCTAAATATTTCTTTAAATTTTAAGGAAAGCATTTTATTTCCTTCTACTATCGTTAGTCTGTATACTTTCTTGTATGCATTTAACATTAAACTTTTATTATATAAACCAGACATATCTTAAATAACCAAGGGAATATTCAATTGAACTGACAGCACTGAGGGGCGATTGCCATCGACAATGTCAATCTTCTATTAAAAGGTACCCCGTCATAGAATCGAGTTAGTATGTCTTGTATACTAGTGAAATGGAATTGAATAATTGTACTGATAGACACCCTACAGCACTATGGCTCATAACTACATAATTATAAACCACAATTGTTGCCAAAATCATAAAATTAGAGGATAAATTTCTCATCCATACTTACGTTTTAAAATATTGACTTATTTTGCCATTCATATTATGCCAATTCCATGTTACTAGGAGAACACAACAAAATATAAACATATAATAGTATCGTTCCATTAACAAATACATTAGTTTTTTTATAAACTATTTTGGGTATAATATGAGAAATAGTATTTTTTAAGTATTTTTAATGATAATAAAAGAAAGTTTTTTAATATTTGTGTTTGTAGCATCAGTAGCTATTTGTCACTTTCTATAGATCATTTAGTGTATATTCAATGTCTCCTGTTAATTTGAAATTTTTTTTTCTTGATAAACTTTTAAAAAAAAATCCCATGGGAATATTTCCGTATCGTGATCAGTTGCGCCAACTACAATCGTCAAGGTGCTAAATAGATTTTAATCTTGCAATTTTTTTTTAAAATAAAAAATACACATAGATGTTTGCCCGGAAATTGCAAAAACTCTTGGCAAATGTCTTGGTGCAGGTACCAATATGAAATTCTTATCTAAGTAAAATTAAGCATGTAAAAATTAGTGATGTAACGAATAGTGATGGGGCCGAATACCGAATATTCGGTGGCCGAATACTTACTTTTTAAAAATTTCTCTTTTGATTGAAATTTTGTAATTAAAGTAATTTTAAATTAAAAATTAAATAAATATTAACAAGATTGCTTTTTTAATCTTTGTATAATTAAAAAAATTTTAACAACTTGATTGATTTATTTTTTAATAATTTAAATATCTTGATGCCAATAACAAGGCAATATGGCTTTTATAAATCTAAATAATTAATAATAGCATATTTTAGTTATAGTTATATTGTAATTTATATGCTATTTTATTTAAAATAAGAACTCATTACTACTGTTAAATGTATTCTTAACTTTTTTTTTTGCCAGAAAAATTATTAAAGCCCAGAAAATTAAGAACTTTTTAAAAAGTTTCACTTTTGAAATTTTAATTTTGTAATTAAATAATTTTCAAATTTTAAATTAAAAGTGAAATAAATATTAACAAATTTGCTTTTTTAAACTTTCTATATTTTAAAAAATATTTGTATTTTAATGTAAAAGATTCCAATGCTTGTTTAAATACATATGATGATAAATTTGCAACAAGAAAACGTTTTTATTTATGTAACATTATTAAATACACTTATGTATTATACAACTTAAATTGAGTAAATGTTAGATTTTCTAATAATTAATGCAGTGAAATGTAACTCTGCAATATTCATGATTAAATATATAATTAAAAGATAAATTAAATATATTTTTATTAAAAAGATAGATTAAATATATTTTTATTAAAATATCTTTCTTTATTATTATGAATTTATTCAGCCAAATATCTAATAAAATTCATATTCAGCCGAATAACTTCATTATTTGGCCGAATAACTTCAGTATTCAAAAGGGCCGAATAGTGACAGAATATTCGTTACATCCCTAGTAAAAATAAAATGTTCGAAAATCTGGCTTTTAATTTGATAATCACTATATGTTGTTAAAAAATCCTAATTTTGAAAATCAACCTACATTTGAAATATTTTAAAATATTGTGCAGTGTTTTTGCATACATGTGTTAAAAAGTTGATTTTCATTTTACAATATGTCTATAATTAAAATTTTTATAAATTTGTCTCAACATGCTTTTTTTTAAGCAATTAAAAATACAGTTTGACGGTCGCTTTAGAGCACTAAATCCTGATAAAATATCTACATATAACTCAACTTTATTTAAGGAACGTTCGAGGATACTATTGAATTTTATAAAACATCAGTGATTATTTAATTACATAGCAATAACTGTGGAACCTGGTCATTCAAAATGCTGTTTATCCTTAAAATTATTATTGTATTTACAAGCTCAACTATCTTAAATATGTTGAAACAGTTTTTGAATTAAAGCTATTTTTCTTCTCAGGAAAATCTTAAGAAAATTTTCTTAAGCATTAAACATTTTCGCCTTAAATAATCTTTTCCTCGTTTTTAAATTTTCACTAGAGAAGGGATATGAATTATAATTTAAGATCTCTAAATATTTTAGCAATACTTCAAGGGCAGAGAATTTATGAATCATCAGTTTAAATTCCGATAAGTTGCCATGATAAGAAATTAAAAAAATTAATACTAATGCAGATGGAAGAATTTTTTAAAAATCATATAGTCATATTTAGGAGCTATTTTGACTGTATTTTAATTTAAAAATCCTCTTAAAAAGAGTTTTTGTATAATTATCACTTTAGGTACTTGTGCGTTCTATTACTGAGTGAATAAAAAAGAGTGTCATTTAGGCACTTTTTAAATATTTTTTATTAAAACATAATAAATGTTTTTTTTTAAAATAAAATTGTTAAAGTACAAATTCACATTTTAATGAGCAATATTTGATTTCAAGCCTTATTTAAATCCTTATAATTCCTATATTAAAAATTATATAATACCTATATAAAATTAAATACAATTCACATATATTAAAAATTCTATTTTAGCATGATTTTAAGTGCTATTCCTCAATGAATAAGCTAAGATGTGAAGAAAAGAAAAATGTTACCTTATATAGTATAGTTTAAGTCATGTATTTAATGTTGTTAGAATTTTAATGATGAATTTCTGAGAGAAAAACTGATTGTACCAGTTTGTCTCAGCATGGAAACATTCATGAATATTAACTATTTCTCCCTCCTTCTTTGCTTTTTCTGACCTTTTCATAATTCAAAGTGAAAGCAATGGAGGGAGAACAGATCTGTTTAGAAGTGGATTGGTACACAGAGTTAAAATCATTTTTTGCTTTCAGAAGGCGAATTGAACCAAAGAAAACAAAAAAGAAATCAAAGTCCAAAGAGAAACAGAAATCAAAAGTAAGTTTACTCATTTATTTAACTTATTTTAATTATTTTTTTTGTAAAAAAAGTTGTTGAAAATAATTATATAAATTTTGCTTTTTTTTGTTGTGTTTTTTTTTCTTTGTGCATTCTATTCTGTTCATTTGTAATGTTTGTTAAATCACAATTTCTTATTAATAATAAATGTAACAGAAAATTTTGTTTGTATTAGGCCAAAGCCTATTTACAATTGGTGTTAATTGCTGACTATTTTTTCTGAATTAAATCTATATCTGTCTATTTTCTAAATCTGTCTGCTGTCTATTTTCTGAATTAAATCTATCTGTAAAAAAAAACTTGTTGAAAATAGTAATAGTTATTATTTTAAAAGTATTATATTCTTTTATAATTCAGATGAAAATAATCATATAATTTTTTTTCTCTCTTTTTTTTTGTGTATTCTATTCATTTATGATGTTTCTTGAATCATAATTTCTTATTAATAATAAATGTAACATGAATATTTTATTTGTATTAGGCTAAAGCCTACTTACAATTGGTGTTAATTGCTGTCTATTTTTCTGAATTAAATCTATTTTTCTGTTAAGACTATCTATTTTTCGGAATGAAATCTATTTTTCTGTTAAGACTATCTATTTTTCTGAATTAAATTTATTTTTTCTGTTAAGACTATCTATATTTCTGAAGAAAAAAAATTTGACACAAAGGACATTTTAGTGTATGTTTGTTAAAATTTCAACTACATACTAATTTTATTGTTTTTATTTGTGAAAATTTTTATACACATCCCACTTTCAGTAATTTTTGTTCTTTTTTTTATGGAGAAGTTATGAAAAATTAATATGAAGTCTCAATACCATTAAACTGACTCTTAATTTTTGTAATAACTGTTTTTATAAGTGAATTTTTTTTTAATTATGAATTATTAATTTATGCGCATGAACCATTTAAAAATAGTTTTTTGTTAGTTTAAATATTTTTTAAAAATTGACTGAAACAAATGCATATCAGTAAGACTGAAACAAATGCATATCAGTAAATGTTAAAATACTAGAATGTATAATAATTCATTTTTCAAGATGGATCATTATACAGTAGGGAACCGATTATCCGGAATGATCGGGACCATCGCTATTCCGGATAACTGATTTTTCCGGTTTTCTGAATCGCTACAAAAAGCCGTTTTTTTATTGTTAAACCCAACTTAAAATAGAAAAATATTTAGAAATAATCTTAAAAAGAAGAAAAAACGATTAAGTAATACACTAATGATTATTTCTAAAATGATGGTAAGGTAAACATCTTTCAAAAAAGAAAGAAAAATCCTAAAATCTTATAAAAAAAATTTTTTAAATAGCGGGAAAATTTATCGAATTTCGTTCCGGTTTTTTGGTTTTCCGGTTTTCTGATTTCCGGATAACGGGTTCTGTACTGTATTTTAAGTAGTTAGTCATAAATCAGTATCAATGTTGTATTGTTCGGATACAAAGAAATTATTTAACTTTTTGTGTTGGGACAAAGCTGATGGAATCCAATTTTGGAAATTTGTCATGTATATTATTTTGACCAACAGAATTATATAATTTACATTAAAAATAAGAAGTTTTCTTCTAGTTGTTTGACTTAACTATTCTAAATATTTAATGTTAAAAAATTAATTATTAAATTTAGACAGACAATTATAAAATTACAACAAATACACAATCTATTTAAAGCTTTCCCATAGAGAATAGAATAATTAGATTAGATAAAGTTGACCATGGTAAAATAGCATAGAGACTGATCAACGCTACAAGTTAACAAGCAACTATGTATTATTTGTTACTATTCATGGTTTGTAGCATTTTTAAGAAGTGCTTAACGGTTTTTATTTCCGATTTTTGTTTTTTAAAAGTACTTAAAGGAGCTTTTTTCATGGGCTGTTTTTAAAAAGTGCTTAGTTTTCCTTTTTCGAAAATGATTTTTTCTTTAACATGTCAATTTTTGCCACTTTTTATGCAAAGGGTGTTTTTCAAAAAGTCTTTGAAAATTATTTTGCATTTTGTTAATGTTTAATTTTTTTTTGTTGTTGTTGAAAGATTTGGCTACACACCCTGGAATTGCATGAAACCCCAAATCCAAGGTTAAATCAGCAACAGTCTTAACTTTTGAGGCTTTTATTATGAAATTCTGTAAAGTAATATGGATAACTGCTGTACTGACTGTTATTACTCAGGGCGCGTAGCGTTTGTAAAAAGTACTTAAAGGTGCTTTTTTGGGGATTTCGTTTTTAAAAGCTTTTAAAGGTGCTTTTTTCAGCTGTTTTTAAAAAGTGCTTTTTTTTCCACGATTAATTTATTTTTCTTCAGAGATATCGGATGGATCCCATGCATTTCACGAAAAATGGGGTGTTTGCTACATAATCATTCACGCGGACTTCATGTCGTACCCACGTTATGACTTGCGCATGCGCGCACACTTACAACCGAAACCCGAGTGCTCTAATTCGGATAGAGAATATCAGATCCTTATGAAATGTTTTTCTTTTTAATTTAATTTAATTTTATTCTTGTTTATTTTATTTTACTTCTATCACTTTTTTGACGTAGGGGGTAAGGGTACTTTTGTTCTGAGTTCAGGGTCAAGTTGAATTCACTCGGTGATGTGGGAAAGTACTGATTGTTTTGATTTACGTCCGTTTCTTTTTGGGTTTTTTTTAACGGTAAAACTCTTTATAAAAAGTTTTTGTTTTTCAATAATATCATTGATTGAATATGAATTTTTTGAGTGCTTCAAATTTTTTGTAAAGTGCTTGAAAAGTTTTTAAAAAGTGCTTATTTTTGATTCAAAGATTTGGCTATGCACCCTGTTACTTGAAAGCCAATTTTTGATAAAAATGACATAAATTATCAAGAAGGTTTTCTAACAAATTCATCCGTCAAAAGACATCAAAAACAAATAGTGCAAATCAAAACTTCTTCTTGTGTAATGGATATTAATGGATATTCTTTTATATTTTCTTGTAATGGGTTTACCACACTTTTTCACACAAAAACTTCATCTGAGAAAATCAACTCCAAAAATGCCCTCTGTTTTTTATTTTTTATCTGATGTTATTGTTCTGTTTTTATATTTTTGTTTATATTAATTTGATTTTCTTATGATTCTTATCAGGGTTGGCAAGATTTTGCCGCAGGTGGAAAAAACCATGTTAAACACCGGTAAATACGGGTAAAAACCGTCCTGGTAAAAACAGGTTTTTGCCAAGTAAATTGGCAAAAAGTGGCAAAAACCTATATTTTCCAAGATGAGAGGACAAAAACACATTTTTGATACAAAATTATTCCTAAAATTGAAATATATACTATGAATATAAATAATTACAAAAAAATTAACAAAATTATTATTCCATAATTAAATGATAATGTAATAATATATCATTTTAGTAGTTTAAAACATTATTGATTGGAAAATTTGTGATTATTCTCTTTTTTCCAGTGAAATGAACTTATTTTAAATTAATATAACTATAATTTAAAGCATAAAATATCTATCAACATGTGTAGTTAATTATTGTACAAATAATAATTTTTTATAATAAATAATAATATTATACAAATAATAATATTTATTTATTTGTAAAAAAACATTTATTTTAGGATTCTAAAATGAAAAGAGATCAAAAACTTTCAATCTTTTAAAAATTATTACCCTTATATTAATTATTAATATGTTAAAAATAATTTTTTCATGTAATGTATCAGAATTATTATTCCTTATGATTGAGTTAAATTTGTTTCAAGTATTTTGTAATAATATTTAATCAGCTATTTAGATAATTTGGTTTTTGCCGGTTTTTACCAGGTTTTTGCCACTGTCCTGGCAAAAACCCCTTTTTGCCGGCAAAAATTCCAACCCTGATTCTTATACTACTAACTAAATTCATAATTTGTTAAAACCATATGTAAATAGCATATTTTAACTTTATTCAATGCATCATAGAAACGTCAGAATAATATATTAGCTCAGTTAAGCCAGATATATCCAATATTGGTAGTTGCCCTGTTTCTTCAAAATTAGTCCCACGGTGGAGTGGTTGTATTTCCTGGTTTCCAGAAGAACACTGAAATCGAGCATCAACGGCTGCTGTCAGTAAGCGACCACTTTGATCTGCCTCCATATCGATCCTCATTAAACTTCCGTAAAGTGCGTTTACTTTGTGTGCTGGTCATCGATCTACCAAAGTGGAGGAGTTATCCTTCTGCAGAGGATCAAAACTGCGATGGCCTGTCTTCGGATCATCCTCAGGGATGTTTCCTAGACCATAATGCAGCTCTTGTGTAACGTAAATAAAGTACCTAAGTACTTCTTCAAAATTATAAAATTAACTATTCATCTAAGCGTATTGGAACTTGAGTCAATAAATATATAAGAGATTAATTTTGCGAAAGTAATAAATTTTTTTATGATATTTTTAAATAATAATAATCATTGTCAATGGCTTGACAACCCAGGGTGGGCCTTGGCCTTCTCAAAGAGTTTTTTCCAGGGTTAACCTTTTTTCCTGCTAAAGTTTCCCAGTTTTTAGTTTTTCAGACCAAGAGTTCTCTTTCTAGGCCTTCTACCCATCTCAAATTCGGCCTGCCTCTTTTTGTGGTACAGTCTTTGTTCATTCTGATAGCGTGGCCTGCTCATTATATTCTTTGTTGTTCAATAAAGTTAATAATGTCGGGTTCATTATGGGAGTAATAAAGCTCTACATTTGATCTTCTAAGCCACTCACCATTTTTTTAAAATTCCTCCAAAAATACTTCTCAATATCTTTCTCTGAAAGGTACCCAACATAGCCTCACTCATACAAGATAGGGTCCAGGTTTCACAAGCATATGTTAAAATTGATCTTTAAAGAGATTTATATAATAAAATTTTTGTTTTTCTATGAATTACATTAGATTTTAAGCATTTCCGAATTCCATTAAAACATTTATTGGCTATAGTAATTCCTCTTTGTATTTCCATTGTAATATGTTGTTGATTACAGAACCCAAGAAAACGAAATTGTCAACAACCTCAAATTTATATTCTTCAATTTCTAAATGGATGATTTTGAAATAATATTGTGTTATATTATAAGATAGACTTTGGGTCTAATAATTAAAAGAAAAAAAATCGCCCATGCACTTAAAACATTCTGATCGTATGAGTATTATAATATCTATTCTTCACATAGCAAGGTTTCAGATATTGTGTGATTTGAATTTTTAAAAAGAAATGCCTAAATTGAGTTTCAGATGTAAAGCTGAGTTTATTTAACATCTGTATAAATGATTGCTTGTTTTTTCCAAAGCTTAACATTTTGATGTTTGATTTCAGAGAGAAACTGCAGAATTGCCAGTTCTTCAGCCCCCATTTTTAGCAGTGAGAAGCAACCCGTCGTCCTTTGTCGTTTTTGCTATTGTTCGTCTTTGTGTCTTAGAAAAACAAACCTGTGAGGCTACACGCCTATATCTAAAGAGCATATCATCACCTTCTACTGATTCTGAGTCTGATGATGATGATGATCGCAGCAATGATGGATCTAGAGTGCCTAAGGTATATTTTAATACTTTGTTTTTTTGTAATTTGTTCAAAAATAGTTAAAATTATATAATTTTCATCATTTGAAAAGATTTGATTACTTAACACTTGAGTAATTCTGAAGTATGCTACTTACTTTGGTCTTCTGTAATTTGTTCATAAATAGTTTCAATTATATAATTTTTATTATTCGAAAAGATTTTATTATTTTGAACTTGAGTAATTCTGAAGTATAATATTTATTTTGGTAATTTGGTCTTTTGTAAAGGAAAATTTAGTTGCAAAAGATCCTTAATACATTTTCCAGTTGCTATTTTTTCTTAAATTGACTTTTAAATAGTTTTTTTAAATGTTTTTTTTATCGAAAAATGAAATTTCTCTAAAAATATTTTTAGCAAAAATATTTGTATCATTATGTATTTGACAAATTGATGAAACAAATAAATAGCAGTACAAACTATAAATTTTATATTACAATTTCAATGTAATATAAAGTTGCTGGCTACTACATAAGTTTTTGAATTATTTTTTCTTCTGAAATATTATTTTTTCTGAGATTTATAAGCTATGACTAGTTAAATTTTGACTCTATGCTTTGGACAATAAATTAATCTTGAAACATCTAAATATCCATAAGAAAAATTTCTGTGTTAATATTAAAACATGATAATTTGTTTTCGATAACCTTTAATATTGTAAAATATTTTCCATAATAAGGAAAAAGTTTACTTAGCAGGGGTCTGTTTAGAAGAAATTTGGGTCCTTTAACCAACTCTACACAAAATATCTTTTCATAAAAACGGCCCCTTCACAAAATATTTTAACTTAAACACGGACCCTTCACAAAATATTTTATCTTTTACTCGGACCCTTCACAAATTTGTTTATCTTCATTATTGGTTTGTTAATCGAATAAACCCTTCCCAGGGGGGTGGGGGAAAGAAAGATAGACGTAAACGAACTAAGTTTTGTCTTTGGCAGCCATTTCTTCGTTTATTCCTCCTAAATTAATATTCTGCGTTCAGCAGTATAGGCTCAATACCAAATATTTGTATGTTGCATCTCTAATTAAGTAGCAGCAATTGCTGTTCATCTTTTAAATTTAAATTTTTTTTAAATTATTATTTTACAGTGTTGAGCATAATTTTGTATCTCTTTACAATTAAAAAACTCCTTGAAAAAGTTTTTTGCAGTAACAGGACCCTATTTGCACAAATTCACAAAAGCAGGACCTGGTTGAAAGAATGTGAGTTAACGTTTATTTTATATTCACAAGTTACGAGTAATTTTTTCACAATTTTACAAAAACGGACCTTTTACAAAACGTCTGCACAGACCCCTGCTTAGTTACTAGAGAATTTAAAAGATTTCTACAAAATTTCTTTCCATGTAATGTTACTCTACATTTGTTTTGTTCTAACGATTCTTTCTAATTCTTATATTGGTTTTCTATCTCCTTTTACAGATTGTTGGTATTGGTTTATGCAGTGTTTTTGAGTTAATAAAAGAGAGCCAAAAAAATCATCCACACTTTTGTATGAGAGCCCTTGAAGCTTTATTAGACATGCTGCAAGGCCAACAACCCGAAGGACTGAAATATGAGCCTTCTGAAGTTATCGGTAAAATTTTTATAGCTCCAACTGTTGCCTTTATATGTCTATAAATTTTAATAAATATTTGTCAATATTAAATGACTAAAATATTTGTTGTAAAGAAAGACCATATTTCACAGCAGTTATATTACAAACTTAATATGTAAAGTAATAACCATTCAAGTCAGTTAATAGCCGACCATTTATTTCAGACACTGTCCACAAAGCACAAAATTCTTATTTTCATATTTTGTAAGATGTTTTGTTTACACTTTTATTTAACCAAAAAATACGCTACATACAAAAGAGGTTGAAAAAATGAAGTATTCCCTATGTCTTTCCTGATCGTGATTCAGAGATGATTGTGCTCCGGAAAAAATCCAGATTTTTCGGTAAACACGATCTGGAAATCCAAGGTCCTGAAGATTCAAGAAATTATTGCTCAAATTCATGTAAAAAAAATTTATGTTTTATTTAGAAATATTAGAACTCAAATTTATACTTGGCATCTCTTTCATTTGTAAATATTTTTCTATTAGAGTTAATGAATGTGATTAGAGATAAAAGTAAACTTGTGCATAATTATTCATTTGAATTATGCTGCATATAATTTATTTAGAATTTCATGTTTTGAAAATATCAAGGATTTAAATTTATAAAGACGTTAATTTTTTGAAAAACGTAATTAATGATTTTGTTGGAGAAATTTTCAGGATTTTTGAATTGGACTCACAATTACTCCTGGTGGTTGTAAAGTAGGTTTAGATTGTTATTTATTTCTTTATACCAAAAAGAACTTGAAAACTTAAGATCTCCCTTTTGAGTACGTCCTCTTCCAGGAAATAATTTTTACAATCACGAGTATAAAGTAGTATATTTATTTTCATACGAAAGAGTTTGAAAAGTTAAATTCTTGCAGTTGTATTATAAAATGTTCAGTATTTAAAAATAGATATATTTTCATTTCATTTCAGATTCAATGTTTGATTTATTATTGGATTTATCATCCTCGTTCTCAACGGACCAACCACAGAGTAGTTTCTCTGCAAACTTAACTCCTTACGCTTGTGCCTGTCTTCTAAGCCTTGTTGTGGCCAGGGGAGACACTGGCAAGCTTCTATCTGCTGCCTCCGCATTACTTATGAGCTCTCAAGCCTTAGCATCTGAAGAAATCCCTGTAATTTGTTTTCTATCTCATTACTTGATGATATTTTCATTGTGGTCAATGCATTTTATTTTACTCCTTATTTTATTTCTATGACATTTTAATTAATGTACCAGGGATTTAATGAAATTAAATATTTCTGTGATAAGTGAAAATGTACATTGTTCTTTTTTTAATGCCATATTTTCACACAGTTATATTTCTGTTTATATGTTATTTGTTTAAAAATTAAAATGCTACAAAGTGTTTACAATTACTTTCAATTTAATTTAAAGTTAACCAGATGCAGTGTTGGTAAGTTTTTGACGATTGATGGTTTTATCAAGTTTTAACCATGGTTTTATCCGTCGTGTTGAAACCCTCTTTTTGACGAGTGCCAAAATTTTAGTGTAAGACTAATTATAAGGTATTAGAAATAAATATATGTATAAAATTGTGATCAATCAATTATATTCGTAAATTATTTTGATATTTCCTTTCCCTGAAACATACAATTGCAATGAGAAAAAAAAGTTTTGAAGACCTCCGTACTCCAAGTTCATTTTCCAGTTTTCTATGAAATTTTAAACCATTCTTTCGGTGGATGCTGAGCTGCTTAACAGAAAAATCGGCAGTATTTCTTTCCTTTCCAATAAATAAGAAAAGTATCTTTAGAGTATAGTTCTGCAGAAAAAAAGAAGAAAAAAAATATTTGCTTTTGTATTTTTCTCAGCTATTTTATTGCTTCAACTCATTCTTTACTCTGTTTTTTAAATTTAAGATTTATAAATTTGAAGATAAAAGTATAACAGTTTTAGTTATTCCTATCATTTCAATTAATTTAGAGTTTTGATTATTCCTCTAACAGTTTTGGTTATTCCTATCATTTCATTTAGTTATACCTATCATTTCAATTAATGTTATTATAATGCTTTTTTAAATTTATTGTTGTGTTTTTGTCAGAGAAAATAGTAACTTCATTAAGCCATGAAAAATCCTTGAAATTAGTCATGGAATTGAAAATCTAAAATGTAGCAGATACCCTGTAATTATGCATTAATGTAATTAACATAAGTTTACTAACATTAGAAATATTCAAGCACACATAAGTAGGAGTACAGAAAATTCTCAGAGCTTCATATTCCCTATGAATAAAGTTTCTTTTTGTATCAAAATTTCTCCAAAAATGTAAGTGTTTTTTTCTTTCCAGTACAATGAATTTTTCAAAATATTTTTGGAAAATGAAGTTTATGTTACAAAAAAATTAATTTGATTTTACACAATTCCCGAATAAACGAGTATATGTGTTATATAATGATAAGAGTCAAAATATATTGAAATAGCAATAATTTATTATAATTTTAAGGTCCCTTTTTATTAACTTTAGGAATTCAAGCTAATAAATACAAAAATTGGTTTATGTTTTTTTCTAAAAAGAAAAAGTTTTGCAAAGCAACGCATTTTTTTAAGCAAAATTTTTTAGAAATTTTCTTAGACCAAACATTTTCTCATTGCTGTCTGAATTTCCTCCAAAGCCTCCTATAATTAATAACAACAAATATAGAGAATTAATAATATATATATATATATGTTGAGAACAGATTGGAAAGCACTTTATTTTTACTTAAACTTTATGACGCTTTTCAATAGGTTTTTGATGCATCATGTCAACGCAATAAATAACTCATAGTTATTTCATGTAAACTGAATAGATATAATATGCGTTCTAATTTTGGCAGCTTTTTTTATAAGTGATACATAATATAAATCATATTTATCGAAGATTGTAATGCAAGTATTGTGTATGATTTAGTATCTAATAAAATGTCAAAATAAATTTGCCGCAGGGTTTTGACGAATTTCAAAAGTTTTTGTCACTTTTCAATAGATTTTTACGCATTATAACAAAATTATTAACTTTTTTTTTAATAAGAAATTCTCAAGTTAAGTTTTTAAAGTGCGTCAAAGTATTAATCTTTAACAAAATATCATTTTGGAAAAAAATCAAGGAATATAAATATTTTTTTGAATGCTTTGTATATAAATAGCAATTATTTTTTATTTTTTACTTTACTGGATGAAATTTTTTGAAACTTACAATCAAATTTACTAAAACCTTACTTTTATTTAGAAATATTTCTTTTAAATTTTATGTAAACATGTTGGTGTTTGGGCAACTGTATAAAGGATGCTTCACTAAGTGAGTGCTTATAATGTAACAAGTGCTTATAATGTAACAAGTGCTTATAATGTAAAAACAATTTGTTTAAAGCCTTAGTTGGGCTGCTAAACTGAAGCACATATTATTTTTTTATTTTATTATTTGCTGCTGCTTAAATTTTATGCATTATTGATAAAACAGCACAAATTGTTTTTAGACTCCTGGTATAATGTCTTCTTTGCAACGAAGTGTCCACGCAGTTTTATTTGGAAAAACTGTGGGTCCAGATTGGTGTTCAAGAGGTTTTCCTAGCAGTGCCCTCTGTGGTTGGTTTTCAGTACAAATTCCAAAAAGTATGATCTCTTGATTTAATAAAAGTTTCTGACATTAATTTTTTCTTTCAACACATTGTTAATTATTTCTTATTCAACACATTGTTAATTATTTCTTAAGAATTTTAATTAAAAGCATGTGGTGGTCATTACTATAACAATTTCAATTTTTTGAATGACTCATCAATATGTATATATGTTCTTATGTAGGGTTGCTAATCCGCAGAGAAAATACAGGGAGTTCACTTGAAATAGGGAGAATGCAGGGAGAAATCACCTGAAATAATAGGGAGAATGCAGGGAATTTTTGTTTTTTCTTTACAAACTACGGAAATACAGGAAATTTAGTTGCTTATTTTTGTCTTTTAAAAAATGGTGACATCTGAAAGCGTAATCTGTGAGATATTTAAGGATGGAATTTCAACTATACTAAACTATTTAATTTACTATGACATTATTTAAGTATGTTCAGCTTTTCCTTTTCTTTTCCTCTAAGTTTTTCCAGCAATTAAAGCTAATAAATATAGTTAGCTCAATATAGCTCACACAAGAGCACAGTAATTGTTGTATTTCCTATTAATATATTGTTCGTAATATAGACAGATTAAACACAGGGAATTTTTTTAAAGTTTTGAATCACAACCCATGTTATGGTGTAAAAGTTATGAACAATTGCTTCATAATCTGTATCAATTTTCCATTAAAAAAAAGAAGAAAGAACTACACACAAAATTAAAAAAAATCTCCATTTAAAATCACCATTTTTTATGAAGTTATTGTTAATAAATATAAAAGAAACTGAATGGGGATTCTTGAGGGATTTTATACGAGAAATCTAAAATTTCTCTATTGTCTTCAAAAACTGATTGAACCTCTTTAAAGTATTCTCGAGTGTGTGTTCTAAATGTTCACATCTAACCAGTGTTTAATCCTAATTGCACTGCCAGTTTCCATCCACTCTGAAAGAAAACCTTTTTTTTTTCTTTTTCTTTCTAATTTCAAACTGTTTATCTGCTTTTAAAAATGTTCTTAATTTTTTACAGCAAAATACAGGCAAGGCTCTCCGATAACTAGTGATGGCAAATTTTTGTACATTTTGTCTGGTGGCTCCATCTATAAAATTGGCTCAGGCTTTGGTGGAACTATTAAGGTAAGTTTACAATATTATTTTTAAATCCTATCTTGACATTTCATGAAATTATAATCTCAAACCCATAATAATGTTGACAAAATTAGTGATTGCACCAAAATATTAGTGACTGCGTCCTGATAGTAGTTAATATTATGTGTCTAATTTTCTCCTGTTAGCTTACTACAGAAATTTTTTTGTATTTTTAAAATACTAACATTTGCAACACGAATTTGAAGTTTCATCCCATATTACTTATTTACATGAAATTATTTCAGAATATTAATATTATTTTATGATGTATGTAACACGATGCATTGTTTCACGATGCATTGTTGAACACATAATTTTTTTTGGCTATGTAGCACTAAATAATTAATTTTCTGTCAGAGGAACCCTCCCGGACTTAAGTTTATTAAGGAAATTATGAACATATTAACCCATAAAAGCCTATTTTTAAAATATTTAATTAGAGAAATGAGAGTTGCGGTAACTTATGGGATAAAGCACTTGCCTCCGAATGAATTGTTGTCCTCAGTTTGAATCCCAGCAGTGACTGGTTCATACAAATTTTACTCCTGGCTTGCACCGAACACAGTGCAGATATAAATTATCATTGGTTAAATGCCGTTATTGTATGCCACTTTTCAATTCTGGCAAACTTTTTTTAGGGCAAACTTCTTATTTCCCAATGGCGCCATCTAGATCCAAGAATTCGACTTCTGCCTTCACACACAGGTGTATATATATTTTTTAATATTTTATAACCGTTGTTGAACAGCCGACTCAATTTTTCTGGGTTTAGCCTTGAAATTTTGAACCCAATCCAGAAGACAAGGGAACACTTGGATCAAGCATTGGGAGAAATTTGACTTTGTGGAGGACTTATGATGGAATTAACCCGTATTTTTGTTTCATGGAGAGGAAGACCACAAGAACTTCCCACGGTTAGCCTGAAGGCAAGGGGACTCTAACTCGTCAGTGCAAGCCGAATGTGGAATTTGCATTGACCAGCCCGTTGCTGGGATTCGAACCCGGTTCACCTCAATGGAAGGCAAATGCTCTATTCCCTGAGCCATCATGCCTTGACGCATGTGTATATAATAGAAAATGAAGAATTTGCTTTAATAATTAGATATGTCAGATTACATGTTTAAATGAATTTTCACTGAAATAAACATTGTTATGCACAAAAAGCAGAGAAAAAAAAACAAGTACCCTTTCATACCTACCCCATTCCAAAATGAGGATAATTTATAAATACTGAAAGAGCAACTAAAAAGTAGAAATATCAAAGTCAAAAATACCTATTCTAAAATAATATTCTATCTCATAAATAACATTAGTTATAAAATGAAAGATAATAAATACAACACTATTTTTCAACAGTTTTGCTGTAATCAAACTTCTGTTTCACCATTTTAATTCTGAAAGTATGCTGCCATCTAGAGATATACATTGAGAACAAATACTTATTATTGATCTTAATATATTGTATTGTATAGTTTTAAAAAGTTCTGACAAATGTTGTTCCCCTGCAAAATTTTTAAATAAAGAATCCCAAAATTAGTAATGCTAGATTAATGGGTTAAAGTGATTATGTTGCACTAAAATTTCACAAATAGTAATAGTCTAGAATTCACTTTAACAACTACCCAAGGATGATTCTGGTTCATTTGCAAGCTACACTACCACAGTTGAGATTGATGGCAGAGGAGAAGTTACATAAATACAGTACGGAACCCGTTATCCGGAAATCAGTAAACCGGAAAACCAAAAAACCGGAACGAAATTCAAAAAATTTTTCCGCAATTTTTTTTTAAAAAAATTTTTTTTTCCTCATAAGATTTTAGGATTTTTCTTTCTTTTTTGAAAGATGTTTACCTTACCATCATTTTGGAAACAATCATTAGCGTATTACTTCGTTTTTTCAAGATTATTTCCAAATATTTTTTTTTAGTTGGGTTTAACAATAAAAAAAACGGCTTTTTGTAGCGATTCAGAAAACCGGAAAAATCAGTTATCCGGAATAGCGATGGTCCCGATCGTTCCGGATAATCGGTTCCCTACTGTAATTAAATATAATAAACCACATATTACAAGACTTTAGTCTGCTACATCTAATGGAAATATTTGTTCAAGCACATTATATTTGGCAGTGAAACACAAGAGGGATAAAAGCTTGGTTTTCACATAGCTCTATCCAACATTTTCACAATTCATTCAACCACAATCCATTTCGGCATACCGTTGGTCCATAGCCTATGGAAGCGCCAATTATTTTTACATGTTTGATGAAATACTTGCGCGTACGCATGTGTATCTACTGAGCTGAATTCTTCGAGATTCTTGCACTCTCTGCATTTTGCCAGATATTCTCAATTTCAGACTTCATTTTCCACCATCTGATATTGGAACAGAAAATCTCTTGATCATTTTGTAATGGATAATTTAATCAAGAAAAGAGTTCTTTGTCACATACTAGTTATTTTATCATGATCATGTAAAGTCTTTGAAAATTATTTTGCATTTTGTTAATGTATATAGTGCTTAAAAATATTTTTGAGTGCTTAAAAAGTTCTTAAAAGGTGCTTAATTTTTGTTAAAAGATTTGGCTATGCACCCTGTATTAGTGTCTTAAAATATTAAATTTGTAATGATAACAAATGTGATTAAAAATATTTAGTTCGGTAATTGGAAAAACTAAATTTTTTTTGGTAATTAACTACAATTACTATTACTGATGTAAATACTACTACTTTTTTTAAATGCAGTGAATTACAATATTCAACTACATACTTTTAGGTGATGGATTTTCCTGATCATCACACTCATGCTTAGAACTGAAAAAAAGTTGAAGATTGAACAAAAAAAATTTATAAAAATAGTTTGGAAAAATAATTGACTTATTAAGTATATGAAAATATAAAGAAATATTTCATTCGTGTTTATATTAACCATCTTTTTACTCTAAATAATTTTTTACACATTTTTTTTCTCCAACATTCAACTTTTTATGCACTGTTAAAGAAATGTTAGAAGGTTATCATATATATATATATATATTTTTAAATGTTTAAATTTTCGTAATTCTTTTAAATAATAAAGTACTAGAGAGTTACAGAGCAAGCTGGAATCACACAAGATTTGCTGCTATCAGCTTCAATTTAACTCTGTTTCATAACTAATATTAAAGGTAGTGTAACGGTAACTGTTATAAACTAGTTTTTTCTTTTTGGCATTATACTACACTCTACAATATTTTTTTATTTTCATTAATGAAATTCAAAAATTATTTTTTATTTACATTAATCATTAATCAAAAAGTAATGCATTACACTACAAAACAAAAAGTAAAGACTATTGTAATCTCTTTCATTGTGGTGCATTTCAGGTTGCCACGGGTGACTAAAAATGCAAAAAGTGCAACCAATGAAATTCAACATTTTTAAAAAAAGAAATCAAAATTAGAAACTTTTTATAGCATGTTTATTTCAGTTTACCATAGTAAGTGAATGCAAAAAATGTTTGTATATGAATTATATGAAATGTAAGTCGTCAATACCATATCATAATTAAGGAGATAATAAATAAAGGGGAACTGAGTTTCTACCACCTTTTACAAAAATAGTCGTTTGTGGCATCCCTGGATGTTAGGACTAATCAATTATTAGATGTTAATCAATTATTGGATGTTAGGACTAATCAATTATTGTTATAAAAGTGAAAATCTAAGCAAGTATTTAAATGTATTTAATGAGTTTTATAGAAACAATATTTATCTGTTCTGAAATATGTTTTGTTTTAATTAGGGGCAAATAATTATGAGTCGAGGTGGTATTAAAGTGGATGAAAAGGCATGGTTAGGATATTGCAAGGTAAGTGCGAAAGTGACGTAATTTTACAATTCATATTTGAGACAGTTTTTTTGTGTGATTATTTTAAACTGTAAAACTTTTAATTTTTAGGGTTATTTATATTTTCAACCGCAAGCAGGTTCTTGTAATGAGTTGATTAAGATTGATCTAGAAACATTAAAAGAGAAGGAACGTGTTAAAGTGGATGGTAATGTTTTTTTTAATATATATATATTAATATATTTCTCTTGCACATTCATTTACAAATAAACTAAAAATATATTTAAAAATTCCATTAAATTTTATGACAACTATTTTTAATCTTGTTATCAGGAGTTTTACAGTGCGTAAAATAGAAAAGGGAATACCTTGAATTTATCTTTTGTCTAATGATCGGATTTCAAATAGTAGTATTCTATCTTAATTGTCCAATCAATCCTTAAATATACTAAGTATTTAAAGCAGACAGTATTTTAAGTAAAGAAATCAGATACAAAAATGCACTTTCTCTTCTTTTTGTTGTTGATGGATTTGGATTTCTAACCCTCAAAATAGGGTTAGTGTTAATTAGAAAACCAAGATGCTAATAATTAAGACAGAAAAGCAATCAAAAGTTTGAATCACTAAATATACCAACAGTTAATATATACTTATTTCTACTATAGACGGTCAAATGACCTAACTCTGTGTTCCTTGATTGAGTGTATGAAATATTGATGCTGGAAAGGAAATAAACAAAAAACTTAATTATAATTAAACAAAATTGTATATTGCCAATTTTTATGTATTATAAGCACAAAGAATAAGAATTTTTCATTCATTTCTCAGCACATTTTTTACATATGCAGGGTGTTTCTGTTGTACATTTTCTGCAAACATATTTTTCACATTTAGAACAAATTTTGATGGTTTTATTATCGTTACAATATCCTATTTGGCATGTCTTGCGTTGATGAAAAAAATACGTTTTTCGGAAAATTAATCTTCATAGATTTTCGAAAACTCTTCGCCTATATTACGTATTTCTTCTTAGAACTTGTGCTGTCTTCCTTGTTTCCACATTTTTCTGGGTAAAAACTAACCTAGGTAGTTAGAAATAAAGTAAAGGTATAAAAATTAATTATAAGCTACTTACCAAAACTTTTATTTTTTGTCATTTTCTTACTCGAAAATGCCAATTTAAAATTTTAGATACTTGCTTGAAATTTGAATTTTGAGTTATTCTGATTGAACTAATTACGCAATAGTTTTTGCAGAAATGTGCAACTCATGTAATGCAATATGTTGAACACACATTACATCCTCATTTCTGATCCGATAACCCTATAAAGCATTGAATTGTTCTCCTGGTCAAATGACCGGTTGTGGTAGAAATAGGTATACGGTAGGCATTATTCGAAACATAAAATACAAAAAAATAATAATAATAGAATTTTAACTGTAAATAATTGTTAGAAAAAGTCATGAAGTCAAATGTGCAAAAACGATAAGATGATATGCCTATTTTCGATGCAAAAGTTCTAAAATGATCATTTGACCGGTAATTGTATGTTTAGTGTTAATGCTAATTTTACTTTTTGCACTTTTCACTTTGTCTCAAGGACTTGTTAAGCAAATAAATAAAAATTTTTCCAATTGTTACATTTGTTTATCCAAAGATAATTCTATGCAAATATTACAATAATAATAGTTAATGAACTTTTAATTTGTTAAATAGTTTCTTAGTTATCAAACTTTAAATATTCAACTTTTTAAAGTTTGATGACTCAGAAACTATACAATATCTGTTCAAATTTTATATTTTATGATTTAAAATTATATTATCCAGATTATGAAGGGAAAAAAAATTATACTTTATTATTTAAAATTTTTTGACAGTTTTTAAATTAAAGAAAAAAAATTAGTTTTTGCTGTAACTATCTTCAGACATACAAATTTTATTATTGTGTTAAATATTTCATTGATTCGCTATTGAATTTTTAGGATATAGCAAAGTGCGCAAAAAATGAAATTAACCTTACTTTTGGTCTCTTTTTTGTCTAAACTACTAGGATCATATTTTCAAGATTGAAGCTATCCCCCATTCATAGTTGCCAACTCTACTGGATTTTGTCTGTTTCTTCTGGTCTACTGGTTTAATAAAAATTTTGGTTTTTGTATTTTAAGAAATTCTGGTTTTGGTAATTTTAGAAAATTCACTGAAATTGAGCAGTTTTCTAACAAAATCCATTTTAAAGTAGAAATCTTGCACAAAATATTGCTTGCTTAAATATTTAAATACATTGTTAGTAATACACAATAAAGTGAGCCACATTTATAGTAATCAGTTTAAAACTCTTTTTGTTCAAAAATGTTCACTTTATTTTTACTTTCTTTTTAAATTAATTAAAAAATCTTTCAATTAACTTTTATGAATTAAATCCCTATAATTATTTAAAATTATGAGTAAATATAATACATAACATTTCAAGTTCATTTGATGTTAATCATAACCGGAAAATATTGCAGTTTTTCTATTTTGATGACTATAAAAATCCCTTTGTGTTTATAATATTTTATAACATAAATGGGGGCAACAATTATCATGGAATTTATATTATTTCGTAAAATATACTGTTTTTTTTCTCCTGTCCATGTTGGCAACTATGCTCATTTTTTGAGGTTCAACAAAAAGGCATCTAAATACAGATAAAGTGCATTTGATTTCCTAACATAAAAATGCTTCCACTGTTTAAGGTTAGGCTCTCAAACCATTAATACTCTAACTTAATGGTTTGAAAGCCTAACCTAAAATTGTGTGCAATAATTATTTTAGGTTAGGCTCAACCATTAGATTGAGTCTTGGTACTTGATACTATGATCAAAAATTATTCAGGATGTTTACTATTTTATTTTATGCACTGTATATTTGATTTTCTGTAGAACTTGTGCAAGGTCATTTCTGTTTGGTGCAGTATATTTGATTCTGGATCTAGTATTGTTAAACTTTATAAATCCAAACTAATCCTTACAACTGTGTCTGATCCTTTCAATAACATAAAGTAATTGATGGATTTTTTTAAAATTATGATGATCATTGCAAAAATATAAATGAAATTACTTTATTTCAATGGGTTGTCAGAATTCCCTAGAAATGTTCCTGTTTGTTCTGTTTTATTTTCCTTTTTTTTTTTGAGAAAAATATGAATATGACTGGAAAAAAAAAGGATTTTTTCCACAACAGTTTATTTTTTGAAGAAAAACAGTTTATGTGAGAATAACATTTCACTTGACATGCTTTATTCATTTTTATAAGTGTAAATAATTTAATTAAACTGTATTTTTCACTGAATTCCCTATTCTTTATTACAATTTTAATGATGTTCTCTTAAAAGGTTTTTTAGTAATATGCTGTAAACTAAACCTTTCATGTAGGAAAAAAACAAATGGTAGACACATAATTGGCTCTGCAAATCGGGGTGGTTTAATTTAGTGCATCTTATGGACTTCAGGGTTTTTCTTTGTTTATAGTTTTACTTTGACCATGCTTTGCACTTCCCCCTTGACCTCTGTTTTCCGGGGCTCCCCATGAATTGAGGCTCTACTAAAATAGATTAACTTACTCTTATTTAAAACCAAACTCGGACAAGAAAAAAAAAGAGAGATTTAAAGCCAAAAGTATAAAATATTGTTTTTTTTTTTACATTATGTTAAAAATATCCGAAACAAAAGATTTTAAAATTTTTATTTAAAATATGAAAAAGAATTTTAAAAAAACCACACTATTATCTGGATTGTTGAGTGAAAATATTTTTATTAGTGTGAAGTCGATGGTAACTGGCATAAAAATGTATCTTTTTGCTTTACATGGAAAATGCTGAAAAGTCGTCTCATTTGTATATTATTTTGATTTTGTTTTAAACAAGCCTGGAAAAATTCGAAAAATGAGAAATTAGATAAAAAAAAAACTCGTAAAAGGCTTTTTTTTAAAAAAATCTTATCTTCATCTTTATGTCCGTAATGATTTTTTGTAAATTTTATTTTAAAAATTTAGGAAGAGGTATGTTCATCATCTTGATGTTAGTTCTATCAAAAAAGTAAAATTATTTTGGAAGGATCTATATTTATGGTTCCCTTTTTTGTTTTGCATTTGTTAATATGATATTGTATTTATATTTTCTTGCTATCATCTCATTGTTTATTAACATGGTTTTACAATTTAGTTCCAGAATGGGGTCCTTGTGCCTTTTTCTCTGATGGGGATAATTTAGGACTTATTCTTGCCACAAAAGAAGTATGATTTTTATTATAAATAATATAAACTTATTTTATTACTAATTTAAAATTATTTTATTACTAACCTGTGGTAATAATTTTAAGGCTATTATTAGGGTAAAAAAGTATAATTTAAGTATGAATTAGTTTCTTATTAAGTTACTATTTCTTAGTTATAATTTTGAACTTATTATTGCCATAAAAGAGGTACAAATTAAATATAAATTATTTCTCTTTTAAAAACTATTAGATTATTATAGAATGGTAATAATTAAGGTCTTGATTTTACCATAAAAAGTTTGATTTTTGTCTAAACTTTTTTTTAAAACTATTGCAATTTTCTTTTTAAAACTATTTTGTAAAACCGTTAATTTTTAGGATAGCTTTATTATAAAAATGTTCAAGCCTGGCTCATCTCCTATGAATTGTGTTCATGAATTAACTTTGAAATTGGCTCGCAAATGCCTGGATATTTTTGGTTCTGGTTTGTTTGAGGATGATAATACATATCACGTATTAAGTAAGTACTTAATTTCTGTTATTATAATAGTTTTACTCTTTTATTATGCAGTGTTATAATAACAGTCATGATGAAACACAAAGAAAAATATATCTCTTATAATATTTCAATTATATTCTTTAAAATCTAAAGTACACGTAAAAGTGAAAATTGCTTGCTGAATCTTGATACCAAATTTGATGAGATGTCAGCAAAAAGAACTTTGTTCGTAGAACAGTTTGAAATGTTTCTTTTTTCTTTCTTTTTTTTATTTTTATTTTCTTTGCAGATAGAAGCCTGTTATTCAGTACAAAATGAAAAAATTCTTTCAATTTTAAAGTGAATATTAATATGTTACCTTTGTTATTAAATAATATATTTTTTCTTGTTAAATTATATATTTTTTCATTCCCATCTGTTTTTAATGATTTTTTATTTTTTATTATTCAGTTTCTTATTTTTTGTAATCTAAAATTTATTTTAAAATTCTTTCAAATTTAGAGTGAATAACAAGTTTTATTCTGTACACATGTCTATGAGAGAAACTTAAAAAAATTATTATTTAATATTTTATAAGGAAAAAAAAATATATAATTTTTTTCTTTTTGTCTTGCGTCGTCTTTTTTCATTAATGTTTTTAGTTAAGAAACAGTAATTTTTGGCAGCATTTTAGAACAATGACTTGTAACATTTATTAAATGTCATAAAAATGTGCACATGGCAAATGTCATGTGAAGTTTAATAAATAGATTGAAAGTGAGATGCATTTAGTTATGAGTGGGTTGCCATAAAAATTTTGTTTAGAAAGTAAAGCCAATTTCTTAATGTATCAAATGAAGTATTCATTATATCATACTTATTTTTGCACAGACATGCCATCCGAAGATGAACCTGTAAGCATTGCAGCAGGAAAAGATTTTGCTTTGATCAAGACAGTTTGTGGTAAAGTATGTGGTTATAATATTCTTTCTCATTTCATTAACCTTCTAATTACTTTAATTTTCTTTATAGCAATTCACCATTTTTGGGCAGCAAGATGGTTTTTTGAACTGTTAAACAGTAATTTTGGGGGAAATTGTTTTAACTATCATATTAGTTGGAAATTTTTTATGTCTTCAAATTATAAACTCATAAATTTAAAAAAGCAAAAACTAAAACAACACACTTTAACTTGTGGTTTAATTGAACAGAAACTGGGCATTTTTTAAAAATAAATATAATTTTTTCGATGGGGATATATTTCTAGTTTTTTATTGTAGTTTTAATGCCTTCAGTTTTTCTAGTTTTTTTTAACGTGTCTTCAATGCATGTCTGACGCATCTACAAATAGAAACAAAAATGAAAAGGAAGTGTAAAGCAAGTTTTTATTTAGTAGTTTAGTTTGATAGAAATTTTACACACAATTACCCAATTTATAAAAATATTTGTTGTAGTCGTGTAAGATTGTTAAATTTAAATTACAGTTTATACTAAAATTGATTCATTATTATTAATATTCCTTCTTCTCAAACAACATCAGGGTATAGCCTCAAGGCAGTGAGAACTTCGTAAAAGCAGGGAAATTAATTAAAACACCTCCCCCAGTTTTATCGTCCCACTTTGGGGTTGAAAGACTGAGATTGTGTTCGAACACTACATTCCACTTGAAAATTATATTCCAATAACTGTACCGTAGATTCTTTGCATAAATATTAAAAACACGTAAATCATCTACAATTTAAGTATTTTTCAAAAGTAGCGGTCTACAGGTTTGCTGTGTTTATGAGTATTATGAATACAGAGATGATTGTGCTCTAGAAAAAAATCCGTATTTCCAGATTTTTCGCTATCTGTGATCCGGAAATCCAAAGGCCAGAAGTTTCAAGAAATCATTGATCACATTTATGTATAAAAATTCTTGTATATTTTATTTAAAAACTGGAATTTATACTTGGCATCGCTTTCATTTGTAAAATTTTTTTCTGGTGGAATAATAAATGTGTTTAGAGATAAAAGTAAACATATACATAATTATTCATTTAAATTATGCTCTATATAATTTGTTTAGAATTTCATGCTTTGAAAATGTCAATGATTTAAATTTATAAAGACATAAATTTTTTGAAATGCGTCATTAATGATTTTACTCAAGAAATTTTTGAGATTTTAGAGTTGGGCTCACAATTAACCCAGCAGATGTTATCGTCTTTTTCCATGTAAAAGAAGAAGAAAGTGTCAAAAAATATCAATAGAGTAATTTCCTTCTTAATTGTAAGAATCCATGCTTTCTTTGTTGCCAAGGCAATGAACCAGCCACTTATTATTTATTTTATTTTTTTAATTACTTAATATTTTTTTGATTTAAAATGTAATATTTATGTATTATAGATTTTATACTCTGGTAAAGCTCAAAGCATGGGTGTGAAACACGGAGGTCCTTCAGTTGGTAAATGGACTGAATTGGTCATCACTAAGTCACCTAAGATTGTCCATTATTCAGTTGGCCATGATGGGCAGCATGCTCTTCTAGTTGCAGAAGATGGCAGTGTTTTCTTTGCTGGAACTGCCCGCAGGGGAGAGGATGGCGATCAAAGTACTAGCTCAGTTTTCTTAATTTGTTCTTTTATTATCAATCATTAGTTCTTTTGCAAATGTATATACTACTTATAACATATACATATATGTATGAATACATGTATACATATATACACATATATATGTATATGTACAGGGTGTCCCTGGGACAAACTTTAATGGGAGGTAGGAAGAGATGATTGTGCTCCAGAAAAATCGGATTTTTCACTAACTGCGATCCGGAAATTCAAGGTCTAGAAGTTTCAAGAAATCATCGATCACATTTACGTCTAAGAATTCTTGTATATTTTATTTAAAAATATTAGAACTAGAATTTATACTTGGGATCTCTTTCATTTGCAAATATTTTTTCTTTTAGAATAATAAATGTGATTATAAATAAAAGTAAACTTATACATAATTATTCATTTAAATTATGCTGCATATAATTTGTTTAGAATTTCATGCTTTGAAAACATCGATTTAAATTTATGAGGACAAAATTTTGAAATTCGTCATTAATGAATTTACTCGAGAAATTTTCAGGATTTTTGAGTTAGGCTCACAGTTACCCCTGGGTAAGGGACATCACAAGGATTCAGAACTGTCTAGTATCCCATGGTAGGAAGCATCACAGAAAAATAGTATGTCAGGTACTAGAAATAAAGACACAAGATTGAGATGATCTGAAAAATTTATTGGTTGAATATATTAAATGTGCTGTTGTAGATGATATGTAAAAATGTCACATAAGATGATCAAAGTTTCCACCCTAACTAGTGATGCCTACATCACACTGTCAGTCCAGGGATTGGCAGACTCGCTGGCAGATGGATTTCGGTAGATATATGCAAAAACACAGCAGAATCGACAGGTGTTATGTACACAGCACTTTTCAGTTTATCCCTGAGAAAGAAATCCAAACTGCTTAAACCAGGAGAGCATGGTGGCTAGCAAATTGGTTCACCTCACCCAATCCATCGGTGACCAAACACCTGAGTCAAATGTTTGCTGACGCATTTGTCATAATGTTAAGGTACCCCATCATGTTCAAACCACATTCTGCATCTGACATGTTGTGGCACACAGTTAAGCAAGGTTGGTGAAAGCTCTTGCAAAAAGATGAGATAGTCTGCATATGTTAAAGGCGATGGCCCTTATATGCTCGTGAAGTCTGTTCCTGTAATCCCGGAACTATCTATTTGTATATATATATGTATATATATATATATATATATTTATATATATATATGTAACAAGAACTATAATTTTGAATCCGTAAATTTGGGTCGACAGTTATCATATTAACGGAATAATTACCAAATAAATGCTTTAAATACCCTTTAGTTTGGTTTATTAACCAGAGTTATGTTTGCCATTGTAGGCAATTTTACAGAATTTTTTTCTCTTTTTTTTAATAAATAAAAAAAAGAAGAGCGCCTTACAAATTATTAAAATGTTTAGTTGCCGCTCCTTTACACTAGGTTATGTGGCTGGACACATATTCCGTTCACCCTGTATCAGTTANGTTTTATATATATGTAACATAAAAAGCTTTAATTAATCCTTTTATGTTATTCCTTTTCTGTAAATCCTTTTCTTTATTATTCAAAACGAAAGGCTTTCTTACACTTTTAAATTCACATCTGGTCTTTTAATCTATTTTTAGTTCAAGTATGCATTAATTATTATTCTGACGATTATCCCTCTAACTAATTCATAAGAAAGACTTTTTCCCTGGACCCTTTTAACAGACCAATAATAATTACTAATTTTTCCCTTATTCTCTAAAATGAAACATTTTACGGATTTACTTAGCAAGATTTTCCCTAACTTTTATTGAGGAGCACAACGATTTCATGTCCACTTTTATAGCTGTTCTCACTCCAATAATTAATAAATAAATTTTGACCCCTTTTTCCCTGCCTAAGACCTGTTTTTATCCTTCCACTTGGCAATGACATTATATATATATATATAAAATCAGGTAACTAACCTGCAGACTTTGAGCCAGAACTGAAATTGCTGCAAACTTTGGCTGCCCAAATGCTGTATTAATCCTTTTTGAACAAAAACTAAATTGAGAGAAATTATTTTTCATGTGACTTCGATACCTAGTATGTACCTTCCTGTGATTTTGAGAAAAAAATATATAAAATTCATCAAATCAAAATACAAATAGAAAAATACATTTTGAACAACATTTAAAGCAGGGTTTGTTGATTTAAATCAGCTTTATTTAAATCACGATTTAAATCAAATGATTTTTTAAAAAAAAATCATTAATTTAAATCAATTATTTCTTTTTAAATATATATATATTGATTTTAAAAGTTACAAATCAGTGTTTTAAATTATTGATACTTCTATTATTTTGTTTTCTTAGTTTTAAAATTTATTTTAAATAAATTACTGCATTAATTAATTTTAGTTAACGAAATTATTTTCGTTCTTGGTGTTTGTTAAATCCCAACACATTTAAAATTACATTTTTAAAAATGTTTTGATTCTTGAGATTGAAAGTACAAATTAAAGTAAACATTTAATGCTGTCTTAATATAGACTTGCATAGCTGTAGAAAGTAATTAATAAGCATGATTTTTTTCAAAAAAATAATGCAAATAATGTTAATTAAAATTCCACCTTTTGAATGAAAAATCTTGGAATTAAAATCTACATTATATTTTATTGGTGGAAAATGTATATTTCTGAAGTTTGAGGTTATATTAAAATGAAATTACCCTAATATGCCAAAAGTAGAAAAAGAAAAAAAAAGGGTTGATGAATTCAGATATTTTTCTCCTGATGTAGTGTCATTCTTCTCTTCAAAGTCTATTTGAAGCAGTAGGGTTATAATACGTTTACAGTATCTTTGACATTATCTGATTTTCTATAAAGAAATTTTGTGAAAAAAAATTCCAATGAGTCCATAGAATTTAAAATTTTTTTTTTAGCTTAACTTATCTATTTTGATATAGAATTAAAAATAATTTTCTTAATATAAAAATACAGTCGGAACCGATTATCCGGAACGATCGGGGCCATCGCTATTCTGGGTAACTGATTTTTCCAGTTTTCTGAATCGCTTCAAAAAGCAGTTTTTTTATTGTTAAACCCAACAAAAAAAAACAAAAATTTTGTAAATAATCTTAAAGAGAAGAAAAAACGATGAAGTAATACACTAATGATTATTTTATAAATGATGGTAAGTGTAGAGGCTGTTGGTTGCGTCAGTTCAGATTGCATGGAAAACTGAGGTAGAAGGATCGAGGATGGGAACGAAGATCGAAGGTAGGAGGACGAACCGAAATAGTTCCTGCGCGGAGGAATACCGGCGGAGGAGCATCAACCGGCGGCCAAGGCAGGGAGTGAAAAGGCTGAAGTCCAGTATTTAAGCAGATGACAGTTTGCCTTCGAGAGAGGTTGTTGTGCAGCGTCCGAGACTTCGTCCCGATATCCCAATTCTTCNAAAAATTTTGTAAATAATCTTAAAGAGAAGAAAAAACGATGAAGTAATACACTAATGATTATTTTATAAATGATGGTAAGTTAAACATCTTTCAAAAAAGAAAGAAAAATCCTAAAATCTTATGAGGAAAAAATGTTTTTTTTTCTCTCCTCATTTTCCTTTAGGCGGGAAAATTTATCGAATTTCGTTCCGTTTTTTTGGTTTTCCGGTTTTCTGATTTCCGGATAACGGGTTCTGTACTGTATATAGATTAAATATTTGTTTATTTTTTGATGAATGTCTACATTTATAAACAGAATCTGTTACATTTATTTTGTCATTTTAAAAATCAAGAAAAAAAGAGAAGAAATCACAATTTTAAATTAAAATTATGGTTTACTAATTGAAACTTTGTTTTAATAGTCATAGTACAGGGGTCTATCCAAGCCAAATTTAGTACCGTTTAGCGGTACCTTCACAAATTCAACTTTAGGAAAAACGGTAGAATAATTTGACAAAATACTTTTTTCTTAAAATTTTATTTTTGTGTCTCGTAAGAAACGATAAATCCATATTTTTAACATATTTGTGTTGATTTTTTTATATGATTTTTAATTTTCACAAATTATGTCTAAATTTTCACAAAATAGGTATACCTCTCAGAAAAACCTAGACAAACCCCTGAAGTATTCTTTAAATTTTCTATTTCAGAATGGTTGCTATGCATTCAAAGCTATGTATTATAATGAAAAATTATATTAGTAAGTTAGAGCTTCTAAAATATTGTTATAATAAAGTTTTAATATTAATTTAATTTTGATTAAACATCTACAAAGTTTTTTTAATCATAAATGAAAGTTCTTACAGTGTATTTGAATAAAAATAAAAAAATCTGATTTAAATAAAAAAAAAATCTGATTTAAATCAAAAAAATCTGACTTTTTTGATTTTTTTTTTAAAAAATCAAAAAAATCACGAACATTGATTTAAAGAGATAAGCAGAAATTGACAAAGTAATTTAGTTAACAAAGAACATTAAACTGACTCAAAGTAGACTTTGTGAGGTTAGTGTACATTAACCATCCAATCCAATCAAAATTTTGTTACATATTCATAATACATTTTTAATTACACAAATTAGGGATCTCTTAACTGTTTCAGTAGAATGTATGTTTGCTTCATAAGTACGGTGATCTCTAAAGCAAGTATAGAGGTTTAACCGGATTGAATGAGTAAAAAGCTCTACTTTTGTGTATGTTCGAGAAAGGTAAAACCTCTTTACTTACACTCTTCAGAACCTGGTTTTGTTTGTATTTAGAGCGTAGCCTTTATGAGCAAAACTTTTGTCTTAAGCTCAGTTAACTTGGCTACGCCACAAAATAAAAATTTGATCTGCTACCCATTAGATTTTAAAGAACTAACAATTTTTAAATGCTATTTCTAAGGATTTTAATGTGTTGTATTAGCAATTTATGAATTGTAATAATTTTCTTTATCTCTGTGATACCGAAGAAAATTAACTTTTGCCTCACAAATCCAGTCCGTGGCCAAATTCTTAGACGCACTACAGGATTCTATGTAAAATCTTAATTATCATGTGATACTATACATGGTGACTATACAGTTTTGATGTGACTGTTTGCACTTGTTTATGTTTGTGTATCAATTGGTTAAAAAATTAGATGATATATTATGTAAATTTGAGGATAGGATAAATTAGACAATTTATTATATAAATATAAAATAATTATATCAAGCATTATATTAGTATACAGTAAAACTTGTGTAAGNGTCAACTTATGCAGGTGCCTAACTTACAAGGGTGGTCAACTTGGCAGGCTTCACTGTATTATAATAATGAAATGATTTGCACGAGTTTATATGCCATACTTTTATATTTAAACATCCATGTAATGGGTTTTTTTTCAAACTTTCTCAATTTTTTATCATTCTTCGAGACTGTTGATTAATTAATTCTCTTTAAGCACTTTAATGGTTATAAATCCTGTTTTGATAACAATTTTATATCACCACTATGCTTAGGCAAAGGACGAAGGCAGCCAAAACCTACTAAACCAAAAAAGATGATAAAAATGGAGGGGCATCACGTTGTTTCGTCTGCATGCAACAACGGAACAAGTGCTCTCATTACTCAGAGTGGGGAATTGTATTTATTCGGAAAAGACTCAGTGCATGCAGATCATAATTCTGGTAAGCTACACATTTATATGTTATTTGCATATACAAGAAATACATTTTGTTAGTTATAAAATGCAAAAATTTGAAGAGAAATTGTCGAATAACTGTTTTTATATTTGTTTTGTTTAAGGTCTTGTTACAGAAATTAAACAGCCGGTGACACAAGCTGCTTTAGGTAAAGCTCACGTTGTTGCTCTGACCACAAAAGGACAAATCTATACATTTGGCATAAATCATAAAGGTCAATGTGGTAGAGAATATCTTCATGGTACAAACAGGGAAGGTATAGTATCATTTTTTGCTTAAAATTTTTTATTATTTTGGTTTATAATTTTAAATTATTAAGGTGTCGGTTTATTATTTTTTTTAATTAAAAAAACCGGCCCGATAACAATTTTATTTTTATGTTTTGTAAGCTGGGATCTTTAAATATAAATTTAAACTAAAGTTTAAAAACTTATAAATTATTTTCCAAAGAAACAGCAAATATTAGCTTAAAAATTACAAACTTTTAATGTTACGCTAATGGCGTGACAACAAACTGTAGTGTGAAAAATTTCAAAATAATATTTTTTTTAGATCAATAAAATGATTGCCTGTGTTTTAAATTAAAATCTTAAAAAAAAAAAAAAAANAAGAAAAATTCTATATATTCTTACTTAAAGCTTGACAAAAGTAACAAATTCATGTTTAGAACTTTGCTTTTAGTTCACATCATCGATAACATTGTACAAAATTTACATCAAAAATTTCAAAGAATTCTATAATAAACCTTTTCTTTGTAATGTGTGTCAACATTTTAGACTTTAGATTTTAAAAGAATTATTTCAAAACACAAAAACACATCTAAGAAGTACTTATTTCGATGGAGAATAAACTGAAATTATCAGGAGCATTAGAATTAGCAACAAGATTTAAAAATTTTGGTTAGATCTAGAAATCGTTTCCTCTTTAAAAAAAAGGTTTTTTTTTTATTTATTTTTTTACACCACATTAGAAATATCAATTATAAATTTTATACTTGATAAAAATACCTTTTTTGTTACTTACAAAAGAATCAGTAATTGAAATTCATAAAACTACTTTGAGATTGCTTAACAAAGACCTATTTGAATTGTTCAATGCTCATTCCCCCCTCCCCCTTTAACTTAAATAAGTTGCTCTTACTTTCATCATTTCAATATTATCTGTATTCCTGTTACATTCTTCAGTATGTTTATTATTAATAAAAAACTTTTATACTAACTCTCCTGTAATTAGTTATTCTGGAGACCTGCCAACATCAATGTTTAAAACTAATAAATACTTTTTTCATTTGATTTCCAAATTGACAGAAAGAAAAAACACAGTTATTTATGAAGCATTTTATTTTTAAAATAGCTAAAACTATTTCTTCTTAACACAATCCTGTGAAGGAATATAATTTTCTGCATTCTACTTTAAGCCGTTAAAAATATCAATTTTGACTGCATCGCTTAACTTGACTTTTGATCAAGGATTAAAGGAGTTGAAATAGTGATTTTATTTTCTGTTTGTTAATTATAAATCGAATTGTATTAAATGCTTATTCAATTCTCAGTACCTCATCCGATTGCCATGGCAACGGCAACTGAAGACGATGCTGAAGATGAAGATGTAGAATCGGAAGAGCCAGATATTATTTGCCCTGCTGGCAGGCACCAATGGAATCATGATCATTGTATGGTTTGCACGGTGTGTGGAGAATGTACTGGATATGGAGCTAGTTGCATTGCCAGTGGGAGACCAGACCGAAATCCTGGTTTGTGAGTACTGTAGAATTTCTTCCTTACAAATTAGATTATTCAAAACACTTTAGTTGTGATAAAGTAGACCCCCTTATTAACATGGTTCATAGTGTTTTTAAAAAGTGCTTAAAGATGCTTATTTTCGTTTTTTAAAAGCGCCTAAAGGTGCTTTTTTCGTTAGGTGTTTTTAAAAAGCAATTAATGAAGCTAAAAGCGAAAATGAGATTTTTTTTACAATGTTGATTTCGCCATGTATAATGCAAAAGCATGCTTTTCATATTGTTCTATTCACCATTTTCACAATTCATTCAACCACCATCCATTTCGGCATACCGTTGGTCCATAGCGTATGAAAGTGCTTATAATTTTACAGGTTTGGTGAAATACTTGTGAGTCCGCATGGTTGTCTACTGAGCTCGGTTCGGTGCGATTCTTGCACTCTCCTGTGAAACTCTGTTGCATTTTGCAAGATGTTCTCAATTTCAAGCTTTATTTTCCACCTATTGAAATCGAACCGAAAAATCTCTTGATCGTTTTATAGTGGCTAATATAACTAACAAAAGAGCTCTTTGACAAAAACTAGTTATTTTATCATGATCATGTAAAGTCTTTGAAAATTATTTTGCATTTTGTTAATGTATTTAGTTCTTAAAATATTTTTTGAGTGCTTAAAAAGTACTTAAAAGGTGCTAATTTTTTGTTGAAAAATTTGGCAACACACCCTGATTAATAGTTGGATAACTGCACTCAGAATTCTGCATTAGGCTGCAATATCTGGAATCGATAAAATTGGGCAATAGGAACAATTGTGCATAGCAGTTATATAAAAGGCAGCCATGGCTTTGCTTCTGGGGCAATCAAGGAGATTTCTCTCTTTAAGCTGTAACTTATATAAGACTTTTAATAAAAGATAATTTAGATTTTTAAAAGCATTTTTTAGGAGATAAACCCGGGACTTATTAATCTAACCTAATTTCAAAGAGCCCCCTGGGATTTTGGCCGCACTCGCAAAATTTTACTAAAAATTAGACGTTTTTCATCAGAAAGGTCACACTATCCGATAAACTCTACAAAATTTTATTGCCGGACTAGTTAACGCATCTGCCATTATCAGTAGTAACATTTTCAATTTTAAAGTTTTGAAATCTTACAAAATAATTAAAAACATCAGATTTCTTCTTAATGGAAAAAACAGTAAAGTCTGTAACAGAAAGAAAGTTCTGACTTCTACCATGTGAGGCATTGAGCAGCATACGTCCATGTGTAAGAGTTCTAGAGTTCTCCTAGATTAAATTTGCTTATAGTGATTCAGACTCCAAACTAAAGATCTTTTTTATAAAAAATGTGTTTGATTTACTATGCCTACCAGTGAAAATTCATTAGAAGCGTCATATTTTAAATTGTAATAACAAGAAAAAGCAACTTTAACGAGCGATAACTCTTGAAGTGAAATCTAATGAGCTGCAGTCTAAAACTGGCGATTCACTTTGCAAACGTCGGGCAGGAATCACTCTATCTTAAATATTCTCTATAAGAAGTTGATAATGAGAAATACCGACTAACTCCAGAGTAATGCACTTTTGAAATTCATGAAGACATTGATAAATTACGGCTATATCTAATATGCAACACATAACCTGGACAGCTGAAATAGCCTCAAGAATATAAATGTGAATAAATACCTACTTTCATTTAAACGAAACTGAAGTCTCGTTGAAAGGAAAATAATTTATTAAACTTGGAAAAAACAAACACATTTCACATTGACGAAGAGAAGTAACAGAAAGACTGCATTTTCAGTGCATTTCTCTTTTAAGCTTGACTTTTTTAAATGAAATAATTTCACTTATTTTTATTTTGAAATGTTGACAGATATGGTACAGTACAGAACTTCTTATCCGGAAATCAGAAAACCAGAATGCCGGAAAGAAATTTGATAAATTTTCCCACCATTTTTTTTTCCTCATAAGATTTTAGAATTTTTCTTTCTTTTTTAAAAGATGTTTACTTTTTCATCATTTTAAAAATAATCATTAGTTCCCTACACTGTCAAGAGAAGTAAAAGTCTTGTACTAAATATCATTCCCTTCATTACCCCCTTAGTTGTTTCTTTTCAATCATAGTTCAGTGACTCATTGAACACCTGTTTTCTTATCATCTGGCAACTAGGGGGGTCATTACTACCAGCTTCTCACAATAGGAGTCATCATGTCTGTTAATTGCTTAGTCCAGGAGAGTAAAAAGCAATTAATTTTATTTGTCTTCTTTGATTCTTAAAAATCTCTTAAAGTACTCCCTACAGGGACTGCAGAACTCCTATTTTTCCTATTATCTCTGTACCCCTTCTTTTTTTCTGTTCTTTTCTACTTTTTCTTATTTTTTTAAAAATTATCTGACATTTCTGTTCCCCCCCCTTAACATAGTGACAGCAAAGAAACAGGATTAATGACTCAAGGTCAAGTATTGTAACTGCACCTGTTCTTCAATTCATTCATTTTGAATGGGGTGTGAAGAGAGGGCAGAACTTGGTAGAACATAAATTCTTTTTATTGTCAGCATCTGTGTGGGCTTGCTAATTTGTGTTTAACTGGAGTGGAGGAGAAATAAAATCGCTCATCTTAATGAGGAAAAAGATTGTGATACACGTGGTTTTCCTTCAGATTTCGATTAATGTTTTAGCAAAATGTTAAAACCCAAGTTAAACGCTTCTAGATAGTAATTGCATGCCAGAATCATGGCAATATTGTTGCAGAACTTTTGAGAGTTTTTTGCTGAAAGATTTTTCCTTTCGGAAGTAAAAAATCTTTAATTTCTTTGCTGCAGAAATTTTAGAAATTTTTTTCCCCTCCAGAATTATATTCAAAGGATATCTTTCTCCTCAGGCATGGGAGGGGAATGAAACGCTCGTGATTTTTCTCTTTCGATTCGATAATAACAAAAAATAACGAAGTAAGAAATTGTGTTTTCTTTTTTCTCCAGAAATTTTCTGAAGATTTTTTTTTTCCATCTAGAATTATATTCAAATGATGTCTTTCTTGTGCATAGGAGGGGAAAGAAACACACCTGATTTTTCTCTTCTCATTTGAGAATAATAAAGAACAATGCTGAAAAAAAATTGTTTTTCCTTTTTTCCAGAAATTTTCAAATTTTTTTTTCCCCATCCAGAAATCTATTCAAACGTTGTCTTTCTTGTACGGAGGAGGGGAAAAATGCTCGTGATTTTTCCATTTTCATTGTTAATAATGAAGTAAAAAATGGAGTGGATGGTTTTGAGTCCTGATGCAGACAACAGCGAAGTAGAAGAAAGCGACGAAGAAGATGGAGCCCACCCTCTTTTTTTTTTCCATCTTACCTTTTTTGTTCATTTTATATTAAACCTGTATATATTTTTATTTCATTATTTTTTTCCCCTTTTTATCTTATTAAACTTATGTGTATTACTTTATCGTTTTTTTCTTCTTTTTAAAATAATTTCTAAGATATTATTTTTAGTTGGGTTTGACAATAAAAAAATAGCTTTTTGTAGCGATTCAGAAAACTGGATAATCGGTTCTTTGCTGTATTCACTTTATAGTTTTGTTTCTATGATCTTAAACCAAATACTGATTCCTATTATTACTATTTCTAAAGATAGGATTTAATCTCAAAGAAACCTGATATTTTTCTAGGCCTTGTGGTTGTGGTGCAGGTGATTCAGGCTGCTTAGAGTGTGGTTGCTGTAGAGCATGTGCCAGAGAGAATGACCAGGATGTTGATGTAGCTGCTGCCTGGGGTCAGCTAGTTGCTGGAGGTCTGGTGGACAATAAACAGACTGACATTATTGTGTTTGATGTTCGATGTGGTGAGACCATTAAGTATCTTATTAAGCTCTGAAACTAAATTGTTATTACTAAAAATCAGTTTTTACCACTTTTTTCCATTTATTAAATATAGTTCATCTATTTCAGTTTCTCTTTGCATGTTATTGAATTAGAAAGTTATTGAATGTACAGAGGAGAATATATCGTGTGTAGAAAGCAATATCTATCCTGCTTTTATTTTTATTTCACCATTGAACTTTGAGAAGTTTTTTCACCCTATTCATTTCCTATAAGAACTATTTTTTCATTATTTTATTTATTATTATTATTTTTCTTAATCATTTTATTTTCGTTTTGATTGGGTGATTATAGCAGTCTTAATTGCAAATTAAAGAGTCACATTCTTAAAAGCTTAACTGTAGGTTGTTATATGTGTTCTTAGAATCCTTAAAAAGTTCTATTTTTAATTTTTGTTTCAGACCAATTACTTAACCCTTCAATATTTCATAGAAAACTCTCTCTACTGATAAATATTCTCTACTGATAAATTGAATAAACCTATTCTGCCTAGATTCATAAATAAGATATTCATTTCATAGACTGTGCAAATTACGTAAATATTTGTAACTTTTGAAATGGAGATAAAACAAAGAACTTTTAAGTGCCATTCTAGATTGTTACACAAATGTTTATGAATAGTGTATATGCATGCTTATAAAATTAAGATTAAAAGTAATCGATTTTATGTAAATTAAAATTAATACAAGTTGAATCAAAACAAGTTAAACTGAAAGTATATTCATACATAAATTTAAATGCATATAAGTTGAACTTTTATTTCAGGGTTGGGGTTTTGGACAAGACAATTGGGTTTTACTGTCTTAATGTGTCCAAAACCTTGAACTTCTATAACCTTAAAATTCTATTGGCATAGCCATTGCACTTATAATAATTACATATATTAATAATAATTCGATCAATTTTATAGAATCTGCTTTAACTTATTAAAGGAAAATAATATTATAGGAAAAGGTTTATTACTTTTGAAGCTCCACAATTCATTGAACAACAAAACAGAATACCTTATCCTTTAAATATGAATTAACATGCTTTTAATACTGTTAAATTATGTTTTTGCATAAGGATAAGTAATGCAATATTAAAAATAATAATAAACTTTTTTAATAAAACGAACAATTTTCTTCAATTTGTTTCTTGTTCAAAAATTAACCCTGTATTGCTCATAATATTTGTTTTAAATTGTGAAAAAATTTGAATAAAAGTGTTTTTTGACAGTTTAAGACAGTTCTGAACAGGATGGTTTAAACGCTAGTTTAAACTGTGGATTAATCCATTCTGTCCTAAACCTTGACAACTCTTTTTTTTGTTTTCAATTTTTTTAAATAAACATGTAATGCTCATATATGTATGCAATGAAAACTATGATGAATGGTTTGCAATACTCCAAATGATGTTATAGTTTTAAAAAATTGCACGTTCAATATAATTGCATTTTAGCTTACTTTCTTGCACACTGTATTTAGTTATGAGTTATTTGGAAGTATTAAAATTCCACATCATTTACAGGTCGTGCAGGGGTTCGATTGGAAGACAGGTTGCGTCGCCGAATTGAAGAGTACAGAGTGAGGCAGCGTCGAAAGCAAATGATACAGTCTGTGAAAGCCATGAGATCTGGTTTAGCTGGATTAAATAAGCTTAGGAGTGATGTTCCAGAAAAAAGTTCACCTCCAATTATGGGTAATTCATTATTGATCAATAATAATAAAAAAAAAAAATGTTTAATCTGTGGTTAACATAAACGCACATTATTACAGAAGATTTTAAAGTGAATTGAATCTATAGAATTTTGTGTTAAATCGATCATTTATTTTATTATTAAACTCACCTACTAAATATAACATCTGTAACAGAGCAATAAGATTTAACAATAATTTTGAAATACAAATAGCATAAAATGCAAAAATCTGTACTCAGGTATTTACTATTTTACAAATAAAAATTAATTTTCAATAGAACTAAAAGTCAACTAATTTATCAATTTCAATTTGTTTTAGAGATAATAAAGTTAATGCAGTTTATAAAATCGCGTAATACTGTTCTTTAGTATAAAAAAAACTGAGTATTATGTTTTATTTAAGGGCATATTTGATATGTTGTATATTTTAATATTTAACTTTATTTGACAAAGAGATCGGAAAATGTAAATGTGCATGATCTTTCTGAATCTCGATAGAGGAATCATAATTCTGATCACTAATGGCAAATCCAGATATAGATGCGAGAGCGTTTCCCCCAAGCAAGGATTTCAGATATGCAAATTTTTCAGTCTTTCGTAATTCGTTATTATGAATAGCTGTTTCAAATTGATTATAAAAATCCAACCACTTGGTAGAATCTCCGTAAAATGTTCCTATCTGCAGACGAGGTAGGTTCATTATTTTTGATTCAGTTTTAGCAACAACAGTTTCGTTTCTATCACTTTCGATATTTATTTTAGAATTAGAAGAACATCGATTTAAAAAATCTCTGAATCCTACCTTTCCATGTCACTTATTTTTCTTGATATTCTTGGCAGGTGGTTATTTCGTTTTCGAACTCCTGTTCACCAACAGTGTATTCCAGTTTTTCATACAATTGTTTCATTCTATCATTTTTGCATTTAATTGCTCACTTAAATCCATTAAAAGTTCTGCTTTTTCAGCATCCTGCGAATCATCTGCCAAACTCGCTTCAATTTTCGTTATTAATTTCGTAGTTAGCTGTCTTACCACAGTTCGTTTCATTTTTTGATTCCCTAACAATTCTTTCGTAGCCATAGTCCTAAATTAATTTATCCAAGTATTCTTCTTAAAATTTTCAATTCCATAAAAATACCCTATTCCAGGGATTTCGGCACCATATTAAAATTTGTACTCTAAAGATACTTGGATACACAAAATAATGATGACTCCAGAGAAACGAACACAACGTTTATTTCATATGGACAGCACAAGAGGGAATAAAAATATAACAAATATGAGAAAGTAAATAATTGGCACAGCGCCATCTATTGATATTAATTTTGAACATAAATTTTAGATATAATTTAACACTCCCCACCATGCATCCATTTATTGGATGCATTAAATATTTATTGCACTTCTAGGTTATACAGTCTTTCAATGGGTCTTTTTACAACATTGTTTTCCAATTAAATCTCACATGATCTAATTTTTCCATCTCTACCTGTAAACAAACTTTTAATTCTTCCTAACTTCCAATTATGGCGCTTAACATTATCTTCTCTCACGAGAACAGCATCATCAACTTTATAAGTATTCAGATTTTTTGATTGTTTAGAAAACATAACAGATCTTAACTCTAATAAATATTCCTTAAAAAATCTTTTCCAAAAATGATCCAACAATAGTAATCCATATTTCCACTTTTTGATTAATTCCACTTTTTGATTGATTCCACTTTATTTGACATTAAATTAAGATTATTTGGAGAAGGTAAAGTAGTTAAAACGTGACCCAACAGTAAAATGTGAAGGAGTTAAGGGGTCAGGCTCATGTAAATCATTGTAAACATAAGTTAATGGCCTCGCGTTAATAACCGATTCTACTTCAGTTAATACAGTAATTAATTCTTCATAACAAAGAGAAATTTTACCCAAAACTTTTTTTAAGCAATTTTTAACAGATCGAACAAGCCTTTCCCAAAAGCCTCCCCTCCATGGGGCACCTTCTACAATGAATTTCCATTCCAATTGATGTTTCTCTAAGAAGTTACACACTTCATCATTTTTACACATTTTATACAAATACTTAAGTTCTTTATCGGCAGACTTAAAAGTTTTAGCATTATCAGAGGATATAACTTTACTAATACCACTAGGGGCAAAAAATCGTCTTAATGATAGCAAAAAACATTCAGTGCTTAAATTAGATATTAATTCTAAATGAATATTACGAGTAACAGCACATGTAAATAAACGTATATACAATTTAGTATTATCTTTTAAATACAATGGCCCTGCAAAATCAATACCAGTAATCTCAAATAGTTGAAATTTCTCTACTCTATCAATAGGTAAAGGTGAAATAATTTCTTTACCCCCTTTAGCTGTAAATTTTTTACAAATTCTACAATTATACAAAATAGATTTAACAAATTGTCTCCCTTTTAAAATCCAAAACTTACTTCTTACTTGAATTAAAGTTTCATGAACACCATTATGTAATACTTTTTCATGACAATCATAAACAATTAATTTTGCAAAGTAATCGTTAGAAAGAACAATAGGACATTTTTCATACACATCTAAAGATGAATTAATTAATCTAGTTTTCACTCTCAGAATACCTTTATCATCCAGCATAAGATTAACATTAGCTAATTTACAATTTTTATCTACACATTTATTTTGTTTAAGATTTTGTTAAGATATTAATTTTAAACATAAATTTTAGATATAATTTAACAAAGGAATTACATCCAAAAAAATTAAAGAAATGTTAAAGAATTTAATTAAAATACCAAAAAAAGCCAGAAAAAATTAATTAGTTTAAGGTATCTAAAAGTCCAATATTTTTTCCAAAAATATTTCTGTAGCAATAATTTTTTTTTCAATTCTTCTATCAAATATAAGTGTTTTGTAATATATTTTATATACACAAAAAATAAATGCGTAAATGGAAAATTAGCTGCTGAAATTGAGTATATTAATCTGGAATAATGTTTTTTTTGTGTATTTGTGGCTATCCTGAGTCATTCATGTATTTGTTTATATTCTTTGTTGGAAAGTTGCTAATATGTTCACAATTTGTATAATTTATTGTCAAACATCAACTGTCTTCACCTGTAAAAGTTATTCATCAGTTGTGAGATGTCAAAATGAATATAAATATATACAAACATATATTAATGAAACTTTCCAAAAAATTTCAGTGAATGTAGGAAATTCTAGGTAATATCGGGTAGCTGAGATTTGAAGGCTAAACTGTTTGACCTAGAAGCTGTCGGGTTTATTTATTGTTTAGTTGAGTACACAGGGTTGCTGCTTTGCGAGGAATTAAAAAATCACTTGAAATAACTGGGAAAACGCAGTGAATTTTTCCTTAGAAACTGGGAAAATACAAGGAATTTTGCTTTGTATTTTTGTCTTTTAAAAAATGCTGACCACTTAAAGCGCAATCTGAAAGGTATTTAGGAATGATATTTCAGCTATACTAAGCAATCTCATTTACTAGTTATAGCATTATTTAAGTATGTTCAGCTGTTCCTTTTTTTTCTCTAAGTTTTTGCAGCAATTAAAACTAATAAACATAGTCCAATATAGCTCACAGAACAGCAGGAAATAAGGCTTACTTGCGCTTTGAAGAAGGGGCTTACAATAAATGTTGTCCTGGTGCCTGTAAACCCTTTGTTGTTGTTTTTTCTTCTGCTGCACTGCAGCTTTCTTGTGCAAATCATAGACTCACAATAGGGGTACTGGTCTTATCCTGGAAGCTGCAATTTTAAAAACAAAACAGTACTACTATTGGATGAAATCTTCGTTTCTATGAATCTTTAGTGAACGTATAATAAACTTGACGAAAAATAATTTTTCTAACTCTAATGACCAATAAATAAGGATAGTTTAAAAACAAAAGAACATTAAAGAGATGATATAGTAAAACAAACTTATGTATACAGATGCCGTGAAATAAGCAACAACAAAGATAGGTTTTTCTTCTTAACTAGTATATTAATTAATTGAGCTTTCCAAAAGATTTCAGTAAGTACAGGGAAAAAGCTTTCATATAAACTTTATTGTTTTAGAATGTTAATTTTTTTGGAAAGACATGATTTTTATCATTTCAATTAACTCTGCCACGTGTTATTATTTTTTAAATGCAAATTTTAAATGTATTGGCAAACAGGGTTCCCACGGTACTTGAAAAACCTTGAAAGTCCTTGAATTTGGTTGAAAAAAATCAGGGCCCCAGAAAGTCCTTGAATTCTGCCATAGGGTACTCGAAAAGTACTTGATTTTTTAGAATTTATAATACTACTAATTTTTCTTGCAAAAAAGTAATGAAAAAAAAATATAAATTCAAAGGAAAATTATCGAAATTCTAATTATGCAATTTTTAATGCTTGAAGTGAAAAGGGGTTAAAGAAGATGCAAAACTTTTCTCTCCTAGATTTTTCAGCCCAAATTGTTGTTCATATCTCTGATGTTTTGAAAGCTGAAATTTCTAGCAAATTTTAGGTTTTTTAGTCATAGTTTTGCGAATTATATATAGGGTTTAATTGATTTAGAAACATGTTAAATGTGTTGACTTCATTATTACGACAGGTTAATATTGTTGTCCGATTTGTTCTTTTAATTTATGTATGAAGGATAATTAATTTTGTATCATTTACAATCAAATTTTTACATTCAGTTTTTACTGCTAATAAATAAAGTTTAGTCCTACAGGTTTCATTGATTATGAATAAACATCGTGATTCACATTAAACTGATTCTTGATTTATAGATCAGAAATTCACATAAAATGTTCTACGAATTGTGGTTTAACTGAAAGTGATCAATGAATCACATATCGAATATTACGTTAAAGTGATTTGCAAATTACTCATCAGGATTTATATTAAGGTATTTTATAAATCACATCATGATTCACATTAAAGTTATTTATCAATCATGCCTCACGATTCTTATTCTAGTAGTTTACAAATCACGCATTGCGATTCATAAAAGAGAGATTTAAGAATTACCACTCACAATTCTCATCAAAATGATTTTAGAATCACATATCTGTCCTATATTAAGCACCTTGCAATTTGTGAAAATTAGGCATATTCACAAAATTTACATTTTATGGATATATTTTTAAGAAAATAAAGCTTGGTAAGTCTTAGTTATCTGTAAAATATTGTTCTACAATAGATTTTATTATGTTCAAAATACATTACTGATATTCTTAAGTAAGAACATAGAAAATTTGTTATTAAAATTGAAACAGATATGTTAAATAGATTTATTTTGATAATTTATCTAATTATATACATTTCCTGTAACCTAAAATTTGATCTAACATATAAAAAAAAGTATTTATATTTTAAAAACTATGCAATTACACAAACTTTATCAATTATTTACTATGCTTTTTTAATGTAATATGCATTACTCATTCATTCAGTTTCATTAATTCTAATTCATTTGTCATGAAAAGTTTCACTGATGCTAGTTTTAAATGTTGTCTAGTATCCTGTGCCAATTGGAATTTTTTAAAGTTATTTGAAACAGCAATGTAACTATCAACCATTCAGATTATTAGCTGATAAATTTAATAAATAATTTTTTGTTGTTGTCAAATAAGCATTATGATTTAAAAATATAAAATTTCTGCTTCTACGTAATTGTAAAATCTGGTTGACTTGTACTTTAGCGTATAACAATAATATCGAATAGGTCCTTGAAAAATTTGATTTTAGGTCCTTGAAAGTCATTGAAAAGTCCTTGAATTTTTTTTAAAAGATTGAGTGTGAACCCTGGCAAAAAGTGAGCATAATTTGAATAACCAAAGATTGGAATTAATAATTGATCAGAAAACTCCATCTCCCTGTTTGCTAATGAACAATTTTCTCATTTATTACTGAAAATTGTTGAGTCAGGTTTCAAGACAGGAATTTAACTACTTGAATGAAGATTCTCTACATTTTTTTAGGCATGTATAAACAAGTACATAGTCAATATTTTGTTATTAAATTTAAACAATACTTTTTTGAATGAGTCACGTCTTATTGTTTATGTTTTTCCTGGCATTTTTCTTTTCTTTTAACACTATAACATTTAATTGTATTTTTTATGCTCATGATTTTTTTTTCTGAAATATATTTTTAAAAATGCAGCTTCAACTTCAAAGTTATTTCCTTTTTGAGTACAATAAGTATTTCATAAATTTTAAATTAAAAAAATTATCTCTTATTTTTCCTTAATTTTTTTTTTTGCAGAAACATTCATGATAATCTTTAGATGTTACTATATTTAAATGAAACATTTAAGAAGCACAAATGTTGCTTAATTTATCTGCATTTATTTATTTAGATGATGTTGCTGGTAGTGATCAAGAAAAGGAAACCATAAAGTTGACAGTATTACCTCCTGCTCAATTACATCTTCCTACAGAAGTGCCTGTCATACAAGTTGCTTGTGGACTTCACCATAATGGTAAAACATTATCTATTATTCTCCTCAAATCATTTGAAGAATGCAATATTGTTTTCTTATCATTTCCAATGGATTGAAGTGCTTACCAATTCTTATTGATAAAACTATTTTAAGAAGGTGGACATTTGTTTTAAAGTGTAAATTTATATCACCCCATACCTGCCATGCCTCCGATTTTTAATGAAGGATCCTGTATTTTATGACCATCTCCTGTTTACCCTTATATTCTCAAATTTTTCTGTATTAGTGGGAGAAATAATAATAAAAAATAAAAAAATTGACAAAATATCTGCTGATGGCAAAATACTTCTTATTCCGCAACAAATAGTGCTATTGCCAATACTGCAGTATGTTAAGTGCTAATAGTTTAAGTGATTATAAATGCCAAATAATTATTTAACAAAAATTTTCTTTAGATTAAGATTTATTATACATATTTTTTACTTTACTAAATGTAAATGCTTATATTAATTTTCAATTTTGAATTTCTCTTTGACTTGCATGATGTATCAAAACTTTACTCGTGGCCTAAAAAAAACATGTCGCTAGTAAAATCTCCCTTATTTTATTTCTCAAATTTTGGCAGATGTGGCCTTATTATTTTTTTGTTTACTTCTAATCTATCTGGTGTTAATCAGTGTTTTTAGTCAAGAAATATACATAGCAAGGTTCTGTTTAAAAGATATTTGGTTCTGTTTACGAACCCTTTACAAAATATTTTAATTTAAAATGGACCCTTCACAATTTTTTTTTATAGTTAATGCTTTGTGAATTGAATTAACCCTTCCTGAAAAAAAGAAAGACATATTTAAAATAACCGCGAAGTTTTTGTGAGGTTTTGGCCCGCGCCCTTTCTTACATCTCTCCTCATCTGCCATCCATTCCACTCTTCCCACCACGTAGAAGCGGATGACGTCAGTGATCCGTGTTCTGGCTTTGCGTGTAGAAGGAGAGAATGAAAGTTAAGCTTTTCTCTGGATAAAAATTATTTTCATCACTTAAAGGTTAGACTGCTCTTGTGTTTTACGGCGTTACATTGTACGACTCTCACATTTTGTTTATTTCCTTTATTTTGCAAATTTGCCTATCGTGCTATTTTTTATTTTAATATTATGTAGCTTCATCATCATCATCATAGTTGGCCTCCAGACTGTCCAATGTGGGCCAATGCCTTCCTCTGAAGATTTCTCCACAATGATTTCTGATTTATCTTTGGTCTCCAATTCTTTTCATTAATTGAAGGAAAATCAAACGTCACTGAGTCAGCCAATCTCAACCACAGCTTTTCACGCTTTCAGCCAGGGCTTTTTCTCTAGTGGGCTTAAAAAGCAGCATCTTTATTATTGTATTGTCATCACTCATTCGAATCACATGGGCAAATCCAATTCATTCTATTTATTTTTGTGTATTTAATAATAAAGGGTGGTTTATAAATCTTGTACAGTTCAAAGTTGAATCTCCTTCTCCTGTTATTGTTTTCATTTACACCACCAAGTATACTCTGCAAAATCTTTCTCTCAAATAGTGCAATAAAATTTTTCTCCAGTTTTGTCATTGTCTAAGCTTCAAAACTGGCCTGACAAGAGTTTTCTAGATTAAGAATTTTGTTTTTCTAAAAATAAACCTAGATTTGATAATAGACAGCCCTATTTGCCAGATAGAGTTGGTTTTTCATTTCAGGAGTCATTCTGTTGTCAATTGTAATTTTGTAGCTTATTTCCTTTCAAATCAAATATGAAATTTATAAATTGCAGTATTCTGAGAAATTGTCTGCTTCTACAAGCATCATGTGTGTACATAAATCATAATTTTTGTTCTCTTTTAGTAAATAAATAACTTTTTAATTTACATTTATTCATAAAATTAATTAACAGAATATTTTATTAAAAACTATATATTATAAGTTTTTTAAATAAAATATTATAAATTTAAGAAATCTTTAAGTTTACTTAATATGTAACACATTAAAAGTGATCCATAAGAGTTGTTTTTTAAAATACATTGAATGAAATTATTAAAAATGTAAGTGATTTTGTTTTCAATGTTCGTCTAAAGTGAATATTTAGCATTTGAGCTGTAGAGGCTGAATATCGAATATTTGTATGTTACAGCTCTAGTTTAGTTTCAACAATTGACGTTTATTTTTGAAAATTTAATTTTTTTATTATTATAGTTTTACAGTGTTAAGTATAATCTTGTATCTATTTACAATTTAGAAAATTCCTCGCAAGTGATTTTTGTAATTTTCACAATGACCGGACCTTATTTGTGCAAATTTACCAAAGTAGGACCCTGGTTGAAACAATGTGACTCTTACAAATTATGAGTAATTTTTTTACAATTTTACACAAATAGGACCTTTCACAAAATATCTGAGCAGATCTGTGATCGGACATGGTGCATAGCGTTTTTAAAAAGTGCCTAAAGATGCTTACTTTTGATATTCCTTTTTTAAGAGCCCTGAAAGGTGCTTTTTCATTAGGTACTTTTAAAAAGTACTCTTTTAAAAAATGAGATTTTTTTTATGGTGTCGATTCTCGCCACTTATTGTGTAAAAGCATGCTTTTAACATTGTTCTATTTAATGTTTTCACAATTCATTTAATCACAATCCATTTCGGCCTACCGTCAGTCCTTAGCGTATGAAAGCGCCAATCATTTTATAGATTTGATGAAATACTTGCAGATCTGCATGTGCATATACCAGTGTTTTTATCATAGACAAAAAATGGGTGGGATTTCAAAAAGTTAAGTGAGATTTCTATAAACTAAAAAAACACAAAAACTCTTGGAAAAAAAATCATTTCCTTAATTATAATACATTTTTAGCGTCTTCTATTTTTTAAAGCATTGAATATTTTTGGTGCATCATCATAGAAGATTTTGCCTTTACAAGGTATTTGTCCATTTTACATTAGCACATGAAAAATTTGAACGTCTTACATGAAGAAACCTTACCTAGGGTAAGCACGTGGTTGCAGAGAAATAATGAAAGATTCAGGAAGAAAAGTGAAGCGGATTTTATTCTAAATGGAGTAATTTGAAGCTTTTTCCAAAATACGAGAAATGCGTGAATTTTGAAATTGATATATAGAATTCGCGAATTTCTCGCGCTAATCATTTTTTGATGCGAGAAAAGAAAAAAATATACGAGATTCTCGCATTCTCGCGCTGTAGTGAAAACACTGATATACTAAGCTAGATTCAGTTGGAATTATGTGCAACCCGGCTGCATTTTGCAAGAGATTCTCAATTTCCAGCTTCATTTTCCTCCCTCTGAAGTTGAACCGAAAAATCTCTCTATCTCTTTATGGTGGCTAATATAATTTTTTAAAAAAAGAGTTCATTGTCAGGAACTAGTTATTTTAACATGATCATGTAAAGTCTTTGAAAATTATTTTGCATTTTGTTAATGGGTATAATGTTTAAAAATATTTTTTAAGTGCTTAAAAAATACTTAAAAGGTACTTATTTTTTGTTGAAAGATTTGGCTGTGCACCATGTTGCTTGTTCTTCTAATTTTGTATGGAGCAACTTCTCTCACTGGTTACGTATTTGAATAGCTGAACGTCTCCTCTCTTTATTCTTTGTTTTTAGTCTATAAAATACTTTCTCAAAAGAAATAATAAAGTTGGAAATTCTTCTAAATCCTTGCTAGATTCCCAATAGTAAATGTTTTTTAGTATTTACTTAAACTAATAATATACAGTCAGTTATATACCTTCTATTACTGAAGTTCAATCAGGAAATCGTTAGTTTTAAACATAGATTATTTATGTCTTAGTTATTTATCTGCATAAACTAACTTTTAGGTTGTTTTTTTTAAAATCTTACAAGCAATTTAGCTATTGTAAAATATGAATCCTTTTATATGTAAGCATTGCAATTTTTATTCATTTTTTTCTTCAATCAGTTCTGCTGCTTCGCAATGGGGACGTTTATACATTTGGTAATAATCAACATGGGCAGCTGGGCCAAGGAGATTTTCTTATAAGGTAAGAAATGCATCTTTTTGAAAATTATCTTTAATTTCTTTCGAAAAAATTTATGTGTGTAACTATTCCAGTGTCATAATTAATCAATGTTATAATTAATAATGTGGAAAATCTACAAAACTGAATTCTATTCTCCGTGACTGTAGGAAAATGTAACTTAACTAAAGTTTTGCCATATCATGTTGGCTCACATTATTCCACATTACAAGATTATAAAATGAAATTGAAGTGGACTTTATCTGCGTCTTGATGGAAGTTAACCCTGTCATTGATTTCATTTATCTTGAGCCTTGGTGGCTCAGGGGATAGAGCTTTCTCCTTCCAATGAGGTGAACCGGATTTGAATCCCAGCGGTCAATACGAATTCTGCAACAGCTACACTGACAACAATCCTGTTGTAAAATATCCTCAGTTGTAGACGGATCATGAGTTAGAGTCCCTTTGCTGTCTGACTAACCATGGGAGTTTTTCGTGGTTTTCCTCTCTATGCAATGCAAATGCGGGTTAGTTAAATCAAAAAGGTCCTCCACAAGAATCCGAATTTCTCCCAATACTTGATCCAGGAGTTTTGTTAAAACCTTACTTTTTTTTACAATCTTAAATATATTTCCTCAAAGCTAATCTTTAATATATTCTTATGAGTCTAATTTTTTACCCACAACGTTAAATGAATGGTAACAATAGGGTTTTGATAAAAAAAAAACTTTTTATGATATTTTGGCGAGATAAGTTGCTTTTGTTTTATCAGTATTTGAAATGTAGCAATCGTCAAAAACATAAAGTGGAAGTGCCAAATTTTAATCCTAACTTTGATGAAATTTAAACATAGTCGTAATTACAGGATCCCAGGCGTCAAACATGAAGAAAAATGAAAAAGAATGAACTTTTGAAACAGTGTACATACATGTTTCATTGATTTTTATTATGTTCAGTTGGTTTCAGGTTAAACTGCAGGTTTGGTATAGAATCTGACAAGTACACAGGAACTTCGGTACTTAAACCTAGTATGTGGTTGATTCCACCACAAAAAGTTTAGTCCTTGAAACCTAGTTTGTTGTAAATTCTACCGTGGAAACTTTGGTTCTTGAACCTAGTTTGTCGTTGATACTGTTGAGAACCAATTATCCGGGATGCTCGGGACCATCGCTATTCCAGAAGTCTGAATTTCCTGGTTTTCTGGATCGACCAAAAAGTGTCGTTAATCGATATTTTATCCAACCCGAATTACAAGGAAAAAGTGTAACACATTTTAAAGTAAGAGAAAAAAGAAAAGCACTCCTAAATTTAGGAAGAAAAAGAAATGGTTGAAAAATAACACTTAAAAGATTAAGAAAAATTTGCAAGTTTAGACAAGAAAAACAAATTTAAAAAATACGAAATTCTCATATTTATTTTTTAAAAATTATTACAATTCCTAAATTAACTAATATAAACAAAATCAATGATTAAATAACACAATATATTTCATACCTTATTATACGGGGGGACAATAAAATAAGAGGAAAACTTATTAATCTAAATAAAAACAACACTAACTTGAAAATTATCGAACTGAACGCAAGATCAACAGAATTAAAATAAAAAAAACTAATGATAAAATTTATGAATAAGAAGAATTAATTTATTTAGTACGAAATTTATCGTGAAAAGAAAAAAAAATCAAACGTAATGGAATCAGAAAAACAAAACTGCAATCTGCTTTATAAAATAATCGTATGTTTAAATTTGTAAACAATTCTCCTTTTATTTTTTATAAAAGCACGATTTTTAACGAAAGCAGATGTGATTCCACATTAAGAAAAACTTGCAAATGATACAGCACTTCCAAAAAATCAGAATTTATTCCAAAGAAAAATTTTTTATTTTTATTAATCAATGTCTAATAGATAAATATATTTTTCTCTTTCATCTTCTATTCACTGATATGCATATGCAATGCATTTTCCCCACCTCCTCATAAATCAAAGAGAAAACGAAATCAGCATGCCATTCCTTTGAGTTTGATTGGCGGCCTAATGGAGAAAATAAAGCATTCGTCCCTTCCCTGCCTCCTCTCAATCGAAAGATCTTCAAGGTCATGGAAGAAATGACGCTTCTTTGGGCAAACGGGAAAAAAATAATTTCCCTTCCTCACATTTTCCTCTACTCAACTTCAAGGATGAGTCTAATTTCCACTTTTTTTAAAATAGCGGGAAAACCGAGCAAAATGTTTCCAGGTTTTCTGGTTTCACGGTTATCTAGATACCGGATAAATGGTTCTCTACTGTACCACCACAGTATAAAAAAATAAAAACTAACTAAATGGTGGTTTAAATAAAAATTTTAAATATTATAAACTGACTAAAGAAATCAAAACAAGTCATATACACATTTTGGCACCATTTTTTCATTTTTCTACTATTATTGGAACTATTACAATCTGTAACCCAAAAGAAAGTGTTTTTGGACCCACCTTGTGCTTCTTGTAGAAATTACTTACTTGAATGTCTTCTATTTTTTCTATTGTAGATAAGGAAATAATATAAAGTATCAAAGCATTTTAACATACAAAGAGACAAAGTTCAAATTTCAAGAAAAAATAGGCATGAGTGCGGAATTAGACATCAATGAGGAAGGGAAATAATTTACTTGGAATCTTTTAGATTTTATGCTTCATTAATTACTTCTCTAAAAATTGCTGTTTGATGTCCTTTTAAAAGTCAGTTTCTTTCTTTAATATGTTAAGATGTGTGACTCAAATATCTCTTTACAGAGGACAGCCAACATTATTGAAGCTTCCATCTGCTTATCTGCCAACAACTATAACTCAAGTTGCTGCTGGTAGCTGCCATACTGTTTTATTAAGTGAAAAGGGACAGGTTTTCACATTTGGAAGTTTTCAGGTATTTTTCATGTAAATGTTATAGTAAGTTAAGTTACAATAATAAGCTTACGAAGAAAAGAGAGGCAGAAAACCATTTTTATCTAGATGCGACAGACTCTTTCTCTTTGTATCGAAATTGATTGGTATCATCTGAATAATAGCATACAAAAAGTTGTTGTTGTCTGTTGAAATTTTTGCAGTTATAAGTAACTTGTGAAAAATATTTAGTGCTTGTGATAAGTTCATTGGTTTATTCTTACATACCAGCCAAGTCTCCTGTTTTTAAAGAAGGCTCCTGTATTTTGCAACTATCTCTTGTTTACCCGTATATTCTCAAATTCCTTCATATTTGTTGATGAAATTTAAAAAAAAGAAAGAAAAGAAATTGGCGATAAAATATCCTCTGATGGTGCTATTGTTAGTTCTGCAGTATGTTGAGTGTAAATAGTTTAAGTTATTAAGTTCTAACGTATAATATGGGGGAAGTCATTAATTTATACAAATGCTTTCTTATAGTAAGTAAAATACAAATGCAGGATACAGTAAAGGCCCCTAATTTTTGACAATTATATTTTTTAGCACTCAATCTTTCCATTTAAAAAAACTTTTCACAGTTTCCCCCTTAATTGTATAATTAATGGTTTAAAAAATCTTTAGATTAAGATCAATATACATATTTTTTACTTTGCTTAAATGTAAGTGCAAATATTATTTCCAATTTTGAATTTCTCTATTTGGCTTACATGATTATGCATGATGTATCAAAGCTTTACTTGTAGCCTAAAAAAATGTCGCTAGTAAAATCGCGGTTATTTTGTTTCTCCTATGTTGGCAGGTATGATCTTATGAATTCGAATTTAAAATGAATTAATGCATACTGGAGGGTTTGAAATGAAAAGACCCAATTCTAGTGTCATGCACTGTGGCCAGAATGTTGTTTCTAATCCTCTGAGCTGACTGACACCTGTCAGATTATAGTTTCATTAGTTTGTTAACTTTGATTGCAATCAAAGACACCATTATCAAATCTTCCATTGTAAGCCCAAGACACTTCAGATATCAATGCTTAATGTGTATTACATTTCTGACGAGCCTTACGAGAACTTAATGAATTTCATTAAAAAAACGTTTTAACATCAACAAATAGAAATTTAAAAAAAAAAATGCGTTTTGGTGTAACAATAGTATCTTCATCAGTAGGATCAATCATTAAAGTGGAAGGCAAGTAAAACATGCATATCAAGATAATTTTTGACCACATGATTGGAGGAGGAATCTGTTCTAATTGTTTTTGTATTTCGAATGCTTTAATTTTTTTATTTGTTGTTATACCTTATGGGTCTGTGGGGAGAGTTTTTACGCTCGAGCGAATGATGTACACATCAAGTGCTGCTGCTAGTAATAATTTTTATTAAAAAAAACACTGAATAATGCATAAATAAACTGTTTTACAAATTGTTTTAATATTTGATACTTTATTTTATGAAAAAAGATTTTTTTCCACTTGGGTTGGAAGAAACTTTCCTGACAAGGAGACTTTTTTTCACTGGGAAACATGGTGCTTAGCTTTTTTAAAAAGCTCTTAAAGGTGCTTTTTTTATAGGATGTTTTTAAAAAGTGTTAAATTTTTCCTTTTCAAAAATGCGATTTTTTCCCCTCTACCGTGTCGACTTTTGCTGCGTATTATGTAAAAGTTGGTTTTCACTCTGTTCACTATTAAACGTTTTCACAAATCATTCAACCACAATCCATTTCGGCATACCGTCGGCTTGCAACACACGATAGCACCCCAATCATGTTACATGTTTGATGAAATACTTGGGAGTCTGTATGTGCATCCACTGATCTGGGTTTGTCATTGATACGAGAGAAAAAATAAAATTTTAGTTTAATATTGAAAATTAATTGTTCATGGGACGCATTTCTAATTTTCTATTCCAATGCTTTGTGAAAAGTGTTGGTCATTGAAGCAAGAGAAAAATTAATGTTAATGAAATTGTATTTTAATATTGAAAATTAATCGTTAATTTATTTAGAAGGGACAGTTAAGAAGAGGTCCCCCACACTCTTCTTTAGAAGAAAATAAAAAAGACAGGAGAAAGTCGGAACGAGATAAGGACGCTACTTGGAGTGCAATACCTGGTGCAGTGCCAAACATAGGAACAAAATACGGACGTAGAGCTACTTGGATTGGAGCTTCTGGCGACCTAACTTTTGTCAAAATTGATGAATCTCTCATAAATTCTCATAACTTGAGCAAATCTAGTGTTGTTTGTAATAAATCATGTATTGGTAAGTCTTATTCAATTTCTCTTTGTTCTGAAATGAAAATATTAGTTTACATATTTCTGAAATCTTTAAGTTCCTTGGTAAATTTTGTATTATTTTTTTTTTATCAGTGTTTATTATTAAGTTCTGTGTGTAACACATTTTGCATTTTCTTATAGCATATTGATTTTTTCTAAACTTTCAAAAAGCTTTTACAATAGGCCACTGTATTTTAAGCTACTTGGTCCTTTGAGGATGCTGATTGATTTTGATTTATGAATTAATTCGTTTGATCATAGCATTATTTTTAAGAGTGAAAAGTTAATGAATTATTTGTGATATTGTATTTATGGTGTATTTAGTGTATTTGCAAAATTTCTTTGTTAAAAAAACTTTTAGATTGTTATTAGTGTATATTTTTTTCTCAAACAAACCCATACTTCTTGTAACTGTTAAATTATATCAAGAAAAAAAAAGAGTGTCTAAATTTTGACAGTAAAGCATGAATATAAATTTTATGTTAAATTTTTTTTTTCAAATTAAAATAACTCTGTAATGGTATTTAGAGCTATGGATCACACCTTAATCAAATGGTTGTATTGAATCAAATGACTTTCACATTTTTGTGTATAAATTCATGTTTTTTTTAATGAGAAATTATCTGATAAACAACAGTCTAAAGATAGAATCATGCGTTAGAATCACATTTTTAAATAATGATTGCATGAAAAATTTCTCTCTTAAAATGAATTTTTTTCCAAATTTTTCGAACGATAGACATGGGAAACTGTTATTTTTGCAAACAATCTAAAGTGAGTATTATTAGAATAGCATTTGTGATGGAGGCTGATAAAATAAGACAATATGCACAAAAAAAAAGGGGAGAGCCACCTAGCTGCCAACTCTACTGGATTTTCCAGTAGACTACTGGATTTTGCTAGTTACTCCTGGTCTACTAGTTTAATTAAAATTCTCCTGATTTTGTAAATTTTAGAAAATTCCCTATAATTGAGTAAGTTTCCTAAAAAGTCCTCATTCAAGTAGAATTTTTGTACAGATTATTGCTTGCTTACTTACTAATACATAATGAAGCAAACCTCATTTACAGAAATCAGTTTAAAACTTTTGTTATAAAATGTTCTGTTTGTTTTTATTCTGAACTCTTTTTTTTTAATTAATTAAAAAAAATCTTTTTTAACTATCTTTGATGAATTAAATGTCTTCTAATATTCAAAAAATTATGAGTATACATAATACATAACATTTCAAGTATGTTTAATGTCAATTATAACTGGAAAATATAGCAATTTTTTTATTTTGGTGACTGTTAAGATCCCTAAAATTCCCTATGTGTAAAAAATTTAGTACATTATGCAACAATTATCAGGAAATTTAAATTATTTTGTAAAATCTACTGGATTTTTTCCTATCCATGTTGGCAGCTATGGAGCCATGAATCAAGGTTATGCTGTATTTAAAAACTGTGCCTGCTGAAAGTAAAAGTAGATTATCAGAATTATAAAATGCAGTTACAATAGAATTTTGATAGTAATGTCATACTCATGGGTGCCACTCTTCAGTCTCAGGGATTGAAATTAGTCTTGAGTGGGCACTAAATTCTATCAATTCATATCTCTCTTAAAGCTTTTTTTTTAAATTATTTTTTTTTATTTCCTTAAAAAAGTAATCAATATTTTCTGTTAAAAATAAATTTCAATAGAAACGTTATTTTTTTATGTTTATTGCTGAATGATCAAGTAATAATGTAACACTGCAATGAACGAATTGATTGGAATTCAACATTTGCTTGTATCAGGGATGAGATTTTTCTGCGTTTTAGCTGATTTCTGCATTTTTCACTTTTATCTCTTGAATTTCAGCTTTTTTTTTTTTTATCAAAAATTCAGATTTTTCTAAAATTTTCACTTTTTTTTTATAAGTATTCCGCTTTTTCAGAATATTCACCCATTTTCAAAGAGAAACAGAAATTTCAAACTACATAGCTACCAATTCTTTCTCATTTTTACTTATTTTAGCTATTTTCTCCCCTTTTACTCGCTGCAGATAAGATTTTCCGCATTTTTTACCCGCCCTCCAGATAGATCCGATTTTTGTAGTTCAAACGACGCTGTTTCTGACAAGCCTTTTAGAGGTCCCAAGCCTGGAATCTTCTGATATCTCGATTCTTATTCACACGATTTTAATATCAAACATAGCTTTTCATATTTGCGTGTTGAGATTCTTATTCACGCGATTTGAATATTGTGCGTTGTGATTTTTATTTGTGCCTTTTTAAAAACCTATGAAGTGATTCGTATTTTTGCAAGTTTAAAATTCTATGTCTTGATTTGCTCATGCTGTTTATAATATTAAATAAAAATCAATTAAAATCAAATAAAAANTTTTGCGTTGTGATTCGTATTTGTGCCTTTTTAAAAACCTATGAAGTGATTCGTATTTTTGCAAGTTTAAAATTCTATGTCTTGATTTGCTCATGCTGTTTATAATATTAAATAAAAATCAATTAAAATCAAATAAAAAACAATCAAATATCAAATAAAATCAACTTATCAAATAAAAAACAATTATCTAAACAGTTGCTGATTGTCATGTAATTTTTCAAACTAAAATAGCAATTTTTGTATGTTAAGGAGTTACTATATATTTCCACTTCACTGTTATTGATATGTTTCAAAGGGCTCTAGTTAGATTAGACTATAACATGAACATAATGATTTGGTCCATTGTTAAAATTTTTTTTCCCAATATAATTTAAAAAGTAATATTACTGATATATTTGCTATAAATTACATAACAGTATTTATTAAAAGAACTGAAATATTAATGTATATTCTCAGTAGTTTTAATTTGCTAAACCAGGTAGTTTTTCAAGTAATAATTGTCTCGTATGTAAACTGAGGAAAAATATAATTTCCAGCTTTATTTTTTCAATTGGTAATTTTTATTTTCACTAAATGTTAAGTATCAATGTAATCATTTATATAATAATAGATTAGTACACAATTGTATGTCAACACATCATTTATTACCTGAAACTGTCTGGAATTTATTATTAAAGGGTTGCGCTTGCGTAAAATTTTCTATCGTGGAAATTCAGCTTTTTTGCCTTTTGGCTAATCTCATCCCTGTTGTATAAATAAAATTTATACTATTGTTGAATATAAATCTGCTTAGTGTACTCTTTCCTACCACATTTCTAAATGCTTTCCAAATTTAAATTGCAATGTTTTTTTTTTTTTTAATTTTTTTTATTTAATTTCTTTTTCAAATAAATTTTTAGAGCTGGGACAAAAATTAATGGGGAAATAAAAAATGCAGAAATGAATGATGTATATTAGTGGTTTACATCAGAGATTTTACTTAGTTATTAGAGTAAAAAACACATATAGTGAACTCTGGCAACTACGATATCCGATACAACAACACCCCTTATTACAATAATGTTTCGTAGTCCCGACGAACTTGCATATGAATTAATGTTATCCACCTCTCAATAGTGCGATGTTCTCTGAAGCCCCTGTAGAACGATTTTTTTTTTTCAATTTTCAACCTTATTTTCCCCATTTATTATTGGTTTTCAAATAATGTAAAACTTTTTTTAATCATATTTGCCATTTTTTAAAAAAATCTTTCCCAACAAGAGAAGTCCCAATACTGATTATGTACTTATTTCTTTTCACCACAGTGAATGGCTTTTGTATTATGATTTAATTCTCCATCCTTGATATACGTAGACCACCCTAGGACCTTCCGTTCTTAGAATTGCTTTCTTATCTCTTAAGAAGTCACAAATGTAACATTTCTATCTGATTTCATATTGAACCATAATTATCACTCTGCAAACTAAATTTTTATGTAATATATAAATAGATTTATAGTTAATAAATATATAACATTAAAATTTAAAAAAAATCTCATTGTGTCCCCAAAGTATGTAGACCCTCGATATAATAATATATCCCTCTACAACAATATATTTATTGGGTCTCCAAAATATTGTTGTTGCGGGGTTTTACTGCACAAGGTAAGCTGCTATTTTCATTCTTTTTTTTCTATTAAAAATAAATTAATAAAATAGAGAAAAATGTTCATTTTTTTTTTGCAAAAGTAAACAAATTATTGATTTAATATATGGGCCATTATCATTGAAAGGTGCATTTTGCAGTCAGATAACTTCACATCTTGGAAAATTCTGGCAAACAACGCTGGATTGTGTTTATTGGTTAACAAAAATAAGTTCAGTCTTGAAGTTTTTTTTAGAGTGGCACCCATGGTCATACTGAGAGATTAAAGTTGATTGATAAACTGAGCTTACATGACATAAATTATTGTATTCTTTTTATTTAATTAAATACAAGAGAAAGTATATGCATTTTTTTTTTGTATAGGTATCATTCCTAATCAAATTGAGCAGGCCTCATCTTTTAGGAGTTTGGTCATAAGCAAATCAGATGGTTCGTGCCGAAGGTGAGTTGTGCGCTTTTCTTATGATTCATTTGTGCTTTGCATTTTGTTATTTGGTAAATAGTTTTCCTGTTGTTTTGTAGCTTCAGTTCTGTTGACCAGCTGGAACTGAAAGATTATTCCGTTTGTCTTGACAGTGTCTACAATGTGCTTTGGAGGTATGTGGTGTCTTTTTGTTGTATGGGGTGAATAATAATTATTTAACTAAATGTTTTTTTTTTATTTAACTGTACTTCTTTCTTCACCATTTCCCGATTTTGAGTACTGTAGTGTTGTGTTCAGATCAGATTTTTGCTTATTGAAGGAATTTTTTAGTAAAAATATCTTTAAAAAGAGTCATGAGAAGCAATAATGTTTTAAAAAACTAATGAACCAAACTTAGACTGTACATGAGTTACTAGATCTAAAATTGCCATAGGATCAGAGAATGGTCAGGAAGTTTGCTTTCGGGTAATAATGTAGTTTCCGGTCAAAACCTGGAACATAATAACAAATTTCAAAACTGATTGTAACAATGCATACTATTTATGGTGGGTATATATGTATAGTATGGTGTGTATAGTATACTGTATATAGTATATATATGTATATTGTAACTATGTTTACTATGTATAGTATACCCAATGTATACTTTATAACCAATGTAACAATAAGTAAGCAAGTTTAACATCTACTTTTGTTATTTCTTGCGAAAATTCAGCTTCAACATATGATTAAACTGTTTTAGAATTATTATCATTAAAAAATTAATATGTGAAAATTAGTTTTTGTTAAACAGTTCCTTGTTTCAAATTTCTTAAGTATAATTATATTTACAGTTTTTAATCTTTTAAAACCTAAGTTCTCTGCATAAATTAATTTTAGTTCTTAGTCGCAGGTAGATATATGAGGCTAACAATGTGAATGATATGATTATCAATGAATTGTTTTCCGCCGGCTAGGTGGCTGAGCGGTTAGCGTGCCTGACTGCGAAGCCAATTGCTATGGGTTCGAAACCTGCTCATTCCATGGATGTTTCTCTCTGTGTGTTGTCCTCTGTTGTGTGTGATGTGTGAATCCGGCCCACCCTGTAAACGGGTATCTGTGGCGTGGGTAATGTTGCTCACCTCTGTGACTTAGGCTCACAGGTGCCCACTGGGTAACATTAAATGAGCAACACTTTTGGCATCTTCCGAGGTAAAGAACATATGTTCAGTACCTGCCATTAGACAAAAAAAATTGTTTTCTCAAGGGTTTTTTTATTTACATTTTCTAGTTTTTGTACCAAGTAATGGCTCCATCTATAATTTATCTTATTGTGCTTTATAAGATCTTCATTTTAAACCTTCATCCAGTAAATTTTTTTTCTCTCTTTTTTACTTAATTTAATATTTGGCATATTTTCTATCGAAAAGTAATTTTTATTGTTAAATGAATTTAAAAAAATATTATACTTCTGCCAAATATAGCAAAAATGAAATCTGGAATTATATTAAATTTTTCGTGGAAACCTAGAAAAATCAAATAATAAAAGGAAAACTTATTAATCTAAATAAAAACAACCTTTGAAAATTATTGAACAGAAACGATATTTAAAAAGGGCACTAACATAGATATTAAAACCTGGAACAAGGCAGGATATTATAAGATCAACGAAATTAAAAAATAAAACAATAAAACTTAATGATAAAATTTTTGAATGAAAGGAATTTATTGAGTACAAAATTTATCTTAAAAAGAAAGAAAAAAAAACTCAAAGGCAGTGGAATAAAAGAAACAGAATCAAAATTAAAAAAAGAAAACTGTTATCTGCTTCATAAAATAATTGTCTTCTTTTATTAACAAATAATATGCTTAAATTAATAAACAATATTCTCCTTTTATTTTAGTTTTTCAGAAAAGACTATTTTTAACGAAAGCAGATGTGATTCCTCATCAAGAAAAACTTGCTAATGATACCGCATTTCTAAAAAGTCAAAATTTATATTGATTTCTTAATCTGTCAAATAGATAAATATAACTGGTGATTAAAAAACGTTTTGTTCGTAATAAATAATGCATCATCTGAAATAATAAAACAATTCGTCATAATAAATCAAAGATAAAAACTGAGTAACTAAAGTGGATTTAAAATAAATTTCACATGTCAGTACTCTTAGCCAGAAGTTTTAAGTTCCTTAACTCGTACATTCATTGATATGCGTGTGCAATGCATTTCCCCCACCCCCTCGTAAATTAAAGAGAAAATGAAATAAGCATGCCACTCCTTTAAGTTTTATTGACAGCAGTTTACCAGGAAAACAACCAACACACGGGAGAAAATAAAACATTTGTCCCTTCCCTGCCCTCTCTCAATCTAATGATCTTCAAGGTCAGGGGAGGAGAAAAATTCCCCCCTTTTTCTCTACTCAACTTCAAGGATGAGTCAAATTTCCACTTTTTGTTAAAATCGCTATACTTCAAAATAGCAGGAAAACCAAGCAAAGTTCTTCCTGATTTTCTGGATACCGGATAAATGGTTCTCTACTGTATTGTAATATTAAGCAGGCAATGAAATCTTCATTTTTTGGGGGGTGATAGGGAAATGGAAAATTGTTTTACTCAGTTCTTTTGAATGTTGAACAACAAAAATATACTTAAAAGACGGTGTAAAAGACTTTACTTTGTAGTTTCAAAAAAAAAAAATCTCTTTTAGAGGATATAGATATTGTTGAGAAGAGATTAAAATAGTATAAATATAACTGCGTTAGACTAATACAATAATAAAAGTATTGTTTGACTTTGTATAAATTCTCAATAGTAGAGCAACTCTTATTATTCAATCGCTTCATAAAATTGTACTTCATGAATTACCCAACAGAATAATTTTAAATAAATGTACTTTTTTTAATTTTTATCATTAATGAATCACAGAGAGTTGAAATTTTCAAAAAATGCAGTAAACCCATCTCAATCATATTATACTAAATTAAAGCTGGTAACTAAAAGCAGAGATACCATGGCTGAAGCATAAATGATGAGGCTAAATTTGTGAAAGTTAATTGACAAAGACATATTAATAACATAATTAGTGTGTCAATTTGTCTGAAGCTTGAAAATGATTTTATAAACAACTTAGCTATCTTTTTAAGTATGAAAAAATTGACCAAGGTGATTGCTTTATTTTTTAATGATAAACAATCACTGATTTAAGTGAGTAAAAAAGGTAAGCTTCTTAATGACTTCTGTTACAGAAGCTATTTTTATTTACAGTGATATAAAAAATTGAATTTTGCATACCAAGTTTTGCAACAATTAAATTGTATGCAATTAAGTTTTTCTTTTTTTCTCTCTTCATTGTTAGTCATTTAATAGAATAACCCCTAGCAGCAAAATAACTTGGGCCCCCATTAGACCAATGTACCTGAATCTTGGCTAAATAAAAGTTCAAAAGGTCAGTATTTTTCCTGTATTGGCCATACACAGAAATGTACGATTCACCCATTATTTTACAACCACTTTAGAACCTGTTTAAAGTTGTTAGAGTTGCTCAATATTTTATAATCATTATTCAGCTAATATAAGCCCTATGTTGGTCTTGTATAGGCCATTCTAGGACCCATATTAAAAAATCCATCTCAATATTGGTTCTTCTGTGCATGCTTTTATAGGGCCCCCCTTATTGGACCAATTTTCAGCCCAACTGGAGGACCCAGATAAAATTGTTGCTTGGGGCTACTTATGCTCTGAAGGATTTAGTTGAAGTGTAGAATTGTTTTATTATTTAGTTAAGGAAATTGTGTTTGCTAAGATGTGTCTTTTATTTATTTGTTTTAGTTTTTGTCCCTCAAACCAAAGAATAAGTCTGTACAATATTTGTATCACAGAACTACAAAACTTGTCTAGTCCGCCTGGCAAACTAGCCACTAGTTCTACCATGAGTAACAAAGATTTTGAGCCATCCCTGCCAAAGATTTTGAGTCCTGAGCACATGCTGCCATTCAAGCACGGAATCCCCATCAGCAGAGCTCATGCTGCATTGAACATATTGAGCAGTTTGGACACACTCACCTCTGCTCAAGAACAGAATCTTCAAGTTCTCAACGACGATCGCAAACATCAGAATTTGAGCAAAGTTTATAGCAAAGAAGACTTCTCCATTGTAAATAGGTTTGACAGTAAGTGATTTTACATTAAAATGTGTTCTAGTTTAGTATTTATTTTTTTAAAAAATTGACTGCTTTATTTTCCATGTCAAGGTCATGGTGGTGGTTGGGGTTATTCTGGTCATTCTATTGAGGCTATACGTTTCATGGCAGACACAGACATTCTCTTGGGTGGTTTCGGATTGTTTGGAGGCCGAGGAGAATATACAGCTAAATTAAAGGTCTGGAATGAAAATTTTCTCTTAATCTATATGTGTGTATTTGTTGAAAACTTTCAATTGTTAATCAATTCAGTTGTTATAATGATTGAATTTTTCCATTTAATATTTTTCATAATTTCTATTCTTATATTAATAGTTCCAATTAATAGTTTTATTTTATATTAATAGTTTTTTTAAAAAAAATTCTTTTTTTTTAGCGTTTTGTTATCTGTGTTATCTTCTTGCTTTCTTCATTTAATTATCTTAAGAGTTCTATATATTTGCTGCTTATGCACAATTAACCTTGATTATCCCGAATTAACTCTTGTATGTACATATTGCAAATATTTATTATCCCGAGAAGACTCGGGCATAGCAGAATTTGTCAGTTTGTTTTGTTTTATCACTTTTTTACTCAGCAGGAAGCAAGCATAATCTGCTGTGTTTGGAAATTTGCCAAGTTTTGTTTGGGTGTTTTGTTGTTGGATTGTGGGAGTGTACACTTTGTGCAATATACAATGGTTACTGAATTTACATAGAAAAAGAAGAATAAACAAAAATGGCATATCACTTCACTCCTGTTTGGAAATTATCACTTTGTGTTGTTCCTTGTTTTAAACACTATCAATAGATTAATATTTAACTTTTTTCATTTGCCCCAGATAACTCTGGATAATAAACTGATGGTAAATTAAATAATTTTTACTCATAAAAAAATTTTCAATTTCAACTTAGAGCATTATGTTTTGCTTTAGTTCATTGTATTTATTAATGAAATAAAAAAATATGTTAATTTTTTGTATTTTTTTGCAAAAAAATTGGTAAAGGGAGCGGTTAATGAAGCTGAATTATTCATTTTCTATTTTTTTTTATTTTTCAATCTTTATAGAAACAAATCATGCTGCAGTAGAACTTCGGTTGATTGATTCTCATTAAAAGAGTCGATCGCGCTTGATTTGATTTATTCTTTTTCGTTTGATTGATTCATTGTGAACAATTGTACGGGTAAAATGAAGACTGCTCAACAGCATAAAATGTCAAGTATTGACTTGCAAATTTATGAAAAGTAATAAAGGTATAGTGGACTTCAAAGTTAATAAATTTACAAGAAGAAATTTCATTTCGAAAAATTATGTACTTACTGCAGATATATTAACTATGCAAAAGAAAGATAAATAAACTTATTTATTTATTTAAAATATCTGAATATTTTGGTTTGAACATCCTATTTTTTTCTTAGCGGAAACAAAATTTTTTATTTCAACCGATTGCTGTATATTTTCTGAAAATATGGATACAGTTCCTCATTGTTTAAAAATGAGTGATTAAATTTCTGTGGCCAGATTGGGTTATTGGATGATATGGTATATATTGGCTAGCGTTGCTGTGATTTTGGAAAATTTTCTGAAAATTGTGCTATTCAATAAGTTATATTTTGATTTTCTTTATTTCTTTGTACAGGATATTTCTGTCTATATTTCATTCTGGATGTCTATATTTCATTGGTAAACCTGATGTAATAAGTTTATTATTCAAATAAAAGATGTGGCGGTTTATTGGGAAACGATAATAAAATTTTCTGAATTTTATAAAGATACTGATGGCAAGAAAAGTAGTAGTAACAGTACCATACTTGTCAAGTCTCCTTTTTTTTAACGAAGACTTCTATATTTTACAACTATCTTCTGTTTACCTATATATTCCTAAATTTCTCTGTATTTGTTAAAGAAATTAAAAACAAAAAAAAAAGAGGAAATGGTGATAAATATCTGCCGATATCAAAATACTTAATCCTCAACAGTGGTGCTATTGCTATTATGTTGAGTGTTTATATTTTAATTAAATTTTCATTTTGAATTTTTCTTTTTCACTTACATCCTAATTTGCTGCTTATGTTTTAATATATTTAAATTGTGATAGGTGTTTGATATTGGACCTGAAGGAGGAGAACAAGAAGTTGACGGTGAACTGTTAATTGAAACAGATGAAATACCTTATGAATGTGGGGCTAGGTAATTATATCATTCATGTTTTGTTTAATTACAAGGTCTGTATTATTCATGTACCCCCCTCCCTAAATAATTTTTCTTTACGAGTAATGCCTATGGAAATTTATGGATTTAGGTCGCCGAAAAATCGAATTTTTGAAATGGAATTTACCCCCACCCAATTTCATGTTTCGAATATCTGAATTTGTAACAAAATCCCCACAGTCATATTTTATTAAAATATAGAATGTTTTTATCGTATTTTTTAAAAATTATGGTGTTCTTTCAAAAAATGAAAGACAAAACATCATTTCTAGATCAAATTATCTTTTAAACTTATTTGATCAATTTAAAATTCTAACTGAAGCAAGCCAGTCATTGGCGAATTTCTTTCATTCCGAAACAAGAATAGAAAAATCAGGAGTATTTCTTTTCTTTCCGATGAGCAAGAAAAGTATTTTCAGAATATAATTCTGCAGAAAAAAAAATTATTTGCTTTTGTATTTTTTTCAGCTATTTTATCACTTCAACTCTTTCTTTACTCTGTTTTTTAAATTTATTGCTGTGATTTTGTCGGAGAAAATAGTAACTTTGTTAAGTCATGAAAAATTCTTGGAATTAGTCATGAATTTGAAAATCTTAATTGTAGCAGATACCCTGTATATATAGTTAAAATTCAATGATATACTCTATTATTTCAGGCATAAATATCCAATGCTTTTTGATGAGCCTATTCAGTTGACGGCCAACAGATGGTATGTTGCATGGGCTAGAATATCCGGTCCTAGTAGTGACTGTGGTGCAAGTGGGCAGTCAGTAGTCACTACTGAAGAACAGTAAGAATAACAATATTCATTTTATATTTAACGACTGTTTTCTTCTTACATTTAATTTCTTGTTTTGAATTTTAGGATTGTGTTCTATTTTAAAAGCTCTAAAAAATCCAATAATGGTACAGATGTGAATGCAGGACAGATACCTCAGCTCCTCTACAGGTTGAAACCACTTTTCTAAGTTTTATTATTTTGAGAGAGTTTCTATATGATTCGCCTATTTATGAATATGAATCGAGATATTAATGAAAATAAATTTGTTTTACTTCTTTGAATATAATTAGCTTATAATATATCATAGTGGCTTAAATTTACTGAAACACATTTTATTGTAAAACTACTGAAGGAGTTTGAAACAGTGCAAAAACTCAAACCGGAAGTCTGAATTTATATAATTTATCAGCGTCTGCATTTCATTACTATTTTAAATATTTGTGTTCGTACTGTGTTACACTTTGTTATTCTAAGAATAAATTAATAGAAAAATTCAACACCTCTCTATAAGGAGCTCTCTTATAAGGGATCTCAAAAACAAATTTAAAATTTTTAAAACTATTCTGTTGTAAATAGTTTTAAGCAACAACGTAGTTTTCTACATGTTTAAATAATATAATGGTTTTAATATTTTTTGCTGAAAGCTTTCAAATAATTATTTATTATAACTTGAGGGTTTGCACCTCTAAAACAATGTCCTAAAATTATGAGCTGAAGTAGCATAATTGAGAAAATTGCGACACATTTTTTATTGGATGTAATGTGCCTTCACAAATTAGTGTTTTTCAAAATAGCATTTTTTATATGAGCAGGTTTGATAACTTCACATTTTTAATAATCTGATTTAAATTTCAACAGTGCTGTAAACCAGATGCGTTTCAGTCTTGCCAGCTCACATGATTGAATTTTGATTTGATATTCAGGCTTTTGTGTCCTAATCTCAGGACCTCAGTAGTTAAATGTCAAAATTTATGTTTGTACAGTACAAAGTCCTATATTCAGACGTCCGTTTACCGGAAGGATCTCCTTTTCCGGACATTTTTTAACAATCAAAATTAACAAAACTATTTTTCTTTTTCAAAATAAATTTAATTGTTAATAAGAAGTTGGCAGGAAGGAGAATTTTCCGTCTCGTTATAATTTTTTGCAATTCTCTTTCGATTTTCTTTCGATTTCCGCTGTAATATTAATGTAATAAAAAATTAGGCAATAATAAAAAAATTAGATATTACGGAAACAAAATCAGACCTTTCCCTACTACTCAAAAATATCACATATTTTTTTCTTCTCATGTCTTGTATAAAATAATTATTACCACCAAGAATCAAGCACACAATTTCAGATTGCGCAAATATTTCACATTTTGAGAAAATTGCAGATTTGAGACAAAAGTGTCACTTCTAGAATGGATAAAGTGATTATTCCAAAGCTCGATTCAGAATTCGTGGATCACTATAATATTATATTAAAAACTGAATCAGAATTTTAACGGCTATGTGTAAATCGAAAACTGTTGAAACTGCGATTGAAAAGAAAGCCACATAGACAATAAAATGGTCACAAATTGAGTGCATCAAAAAATAATTCCTCAAAAGCGCAATTTGAAATTTCCCATGTATGATAATGTAGCATTAAAAAACTATGAAAATCCATTTTAATTACGGAAAAAAATGCAATGGCAAGTTCACATAGGATTGCGGGTGAATTGTCAGTAATTGAGAGTGCAATTCAAAGTTTGCCAACCAAAATAATGTCATAGCAAAGCATTTTAAAAACCAAGTGAAAATCTGTTTTAGTAACTACCTAGAAAATGATCGACAGAACAACTAGGATCCTCTGTGGAATCATTGAGAAGGGATTACCAACTGAAATCCGTCATTCAGAATTTGTGGAATGTTCAAATATCGAAATTTTAAAAACCGTATGGAAATCTGTAACAAAAGCTGCAAAAATAGCGTAACCACACGAATTTTTACTTTATTGATTGAAATTAATGTTAATTATCATCTATTTGTTATTTTTTATTGAATAAGGATGTTTGTTTACCTTAAAGACCCATTATCCACAAAAATCTGTTTTCCAAACTTGCCAAAGTCCCGACGATTCCGGATTTGGAACTTTCCACTGTATTAAAAGTTAATTATATTGAATGTACAAATTTCTTACAGTGATTTTGTAGTTGCTTGTTTGTCTTATCCTTAATTCTTATTTAGAACCTTCACTTAAAATTTTGAAATCCTGATAAACGAAAAAAGTACAACACAAATTTTAACAAAGCATCTACGAAGGGTTTTTCTTTTAAGAGTAATGTTTCAACTAATTCTAAAAAAAAAGTTTATGTGAGCTATCTGTTGTATCTTTTTTGGAAAGAGTTTTAGGAAAAGGTGGCATTTCAGATTTTTTCATTCTTTTGATAAGGTTGATACAAAATGGAGTAAAGGAGTAGGAAAAGTACGCAGTGTGTGTGTTGGCCAAATCAAAGCTGAGGGGAGGGAGTTGTTAATCACTTTTCACAGGATGAAACTTGTGAGAGAATATTCATCCAACAGTGACAATATTTTAAGTCAGTAACAAAAATACAGGCTTAATTATATTTTACTTTGTCAAAACAAACTTTTGAGAATTTATTGAATAGGAAGGCAGATCAGCAAGAATTTCCAACACTTTTTATATAATGTTTTTAAAAATAATAATCAGTAACTCAGTCATTTTAAATGCAATTGATTAATTTATTTTATAATATTTAGGGTTAAAAAAAGTAACTTCAATTTTTTTGAGAGATTTTTTTTATTTTAATCTTTGAAATTTATTATTTTTATTTATTTTTTGTTATTTTTTTAATATTTAAAAGGACATTGCCCTTTTATTCATAAAATTTTTTCCTTCAAAATTCTATGCCTTTTAAATTTTTTCTCTAATAAATTGTTTTTGTTCAACCAGAACTGTAACACCTGATAATCAAGGACTATCAAAGCCCAGTGATCAGTTGGAACCTGTGACTGTTTTAACGAAAGACTTTTCCAAGACTGTTACACCCGTAAGCTCAATTATTTATACATTTTCCCTCAATTTTGCCTAACACGAAGAGTAAATAATGTTACCCTTTATAATATAACCCTTCTTTTTCAGAATTAGTGAAATTATGTTCTTTAATTGCATAAGTATCTATCTTAGAGAAATATGTGTATCTGGAAATTAACAATGCTTAGAAAATTTCTTAACCATTTCTACTATTCTTTTGAAGTTAAATAACTGTGTAGAAACTTTAAATTATAAAACATAGTTCAGGATGTTGGCGTGTTATTGGATTTTGACGTGTTATAAAACGTGTGACGTGTTAGCGTGTTATGGGAAAGACACGAAAGATATTTATAGAAAAACTTTGCCAAAACTTCAAACTGATCCATGAATGTCTTTTCAATCATTTAAATTCTGAAACAATAGGAATTTTCATAGAACAATAAGAGTTAATGGTTTATAGTTTTCAATATTCAAAAGCATCATTAATAAAACAGTGAATGTAAGCTAATTGTTTACTGTTGAGGTGAAGTTTTGACTGTATTATTATGTTATTACATTTAGAGCACGTTAAGCACTATATTTCAGGAATTTTCTTTTATATTTATATTTTCTTTTATTATTTAACTATATATATATATATATTTTTTTTGCAACTCTTTCCTTTTGCATGTTTCTATATATATTGGGAGTACAAATAAGTTTCTGCCGTTTTCTATAAAAAATTAGCACTTTATTGTGAAAAACAGTACATTTTCTTTTATTCAAAGTATTTTCCATTACTAGACTCTCTTTTTTCCCTTCTTTGTGGGGGGTCATTCCGCATCAAATCATACAGGATTTTACAAAAATGGCACCCACCATCTCAGATTTTGATGAAAATTTGCACACTTATAGAATTTTTGATGCTGATTTCAAAAATATCAATTATATTTAAATCATTTAAGGGGTTTAAAAGTTATAAGCATTTATATTTTTGCCAAAATGGCACATTTGCCGCACTTTTGATTCATACATCAATGGCTATTAATGATTGTAACTCACCTTATATTTCTCAAAGAGCAATAATTTTATTTTTATTTTATTCAGAATAAAATAATCTGTCATTTAAACACATTTGTTTGCAAATAATTATCTTACTTATTTAGTAAATGGTTCTGTTTTGCAGTTTTTTGATCAACAGAGTTGAGTAACTTTTATATTTATATTATATTATAGTTGATTTCTGGCAACTCGCCCCCTTCAATTTCAAAAATATTTTAGGCAAAGATGGTTGAAAGAGCAAACTAACATCTGATATAAAAATTTTGATGGGCGGTTCACTCACTTTTTAAAAAAAAAAATATTTTTCTTATGAATTATTATGCGTTAAAAGTATTGGTAGTGTGATGATTCATAGTCTTTAATTGTAACTAGAGTATAATAAAATGAGAATGATAGAAAAATATGTAAAATAAAGTAATTATTTATTAAATTATTTTTTTCTTCTTTATTTGAGCCCCCCCCCCC